TGCCCTGGAGAAAATTGCGGGGGTTCTATCGTAAGTACCCTGGCAAGCCATGGCACATCGCCTCCACGGGGGGGTGATGTTAGGGGAACCCCCCTTTCAGCCCCTCGGAGACACGTCCGACTCCGGTCTGATGTTCTCACCTATTCGACCATTAAGATCTCCATCGCCGTGGCAAGGTTTCTCGTCATTTTGCGCAACAGACAGTCGAAGTCTTGTTATACCGTTCCTCAGTTGAAACATCAAGGTCGCATCCTGTGTTGGAATTTTCAGGTGGGAGATAAACCGACATTGCAAAAAAGTGTGCACCAGGAGATCTGGGCAGGAGAGATCCTTGCATACCATGAAGGGCAATGATATTCGCACTACTGCAGCCACACCCCCTTGCTGTTCTCCCAGGTCGTGTCGGTCTGGTCGGGACTTGGCCACTATAGTGTACCTGGGTAGAAGAGTCAATGAGTCTTCTTGTCCAGGGCTAAGCCATGTCTCTTGGAACAGCATGATATTATGAGCCAAAATCAGGGCACGAAAGTCTAATGTCCCGATTTTTAAAGCCAAATTGCCATGAACATTCTTTGAGTACTTAGACACACTTTAAATACAAAAAATTCAAGTAAGAACAAAAGTCATTGGTAGGTAAAGAATCCTACTTGTAGTTTGCGCCAGTGAACCCATCCCCACAGACAATGGTAATGGGGTCAACCGGGCAAGGAGCCCACTCAGCGTGAAGACCTTCCAGTCCAGAGGGAGGGTTGTTTGTAATGGCATCCATAAAGGTCAACATAAAGGGGCATGTACGGAAGCGAATGCTGATAGTACCATGTCACATGCATATTGCATTGAGAATGGAACCAGGGCCAAGATGCGGGATAACTTGAATGGCAGCACAGGTAATTTCTCTAGCATCTCCCGAAGCAACCGCATACAACCACACATCATGGAAGCCCTCTTGGCTTGTTCCAGTCTGTTGGCACTTTGCGGGAGATTTGTGATCAGCAGATGACATGTCACGTCCTGATGCAGAGGATTGTTGGGCAGGGTATTGAGAAGGAATCTGCACATGGAACTGCTGAGTTGGTGGCTGTTGGAAATTTCCAGTGGGAGGTTGAGTTGCAGCGGTGCTCTGAAGTTGACTCTGAACAGGGAGCGAGAAAGGAGCCCCCACCGCACCAAGTAGGGGATAGGAAGTTGCCGGCCGCAAAGGGAGGGGGTACAGGTAAGGCAGCTACAGCTGCCATTGCCGAAGAGTGTTCGGTTGGAACATGAGCTGCAGCGGAGCGGAGAGCAGTGACCTCTATCTCCAGTTCGTTGATGCGGCTAATCACTGCAATCAGGGCATCATGATCCAAGTGCTGTACTTCAAGAACATGCGTAGCGTATGCAGAAGTTTGGCCAAGCAGAAGACGAGTTTCATCGTCTCGCCCACGCGCCATACGACTGTTGGAGCACTGAGATTCATCAATTTGGAACATGTGGTTGACGATAACAGCCTGGTTTTTGTTGAGTTGTTCTCGGGTGTTGCCCACTGTTTCAGAAGAAGGTGTTGATGTCAACCCCCATTGAAAAGGGTGCTGTTTTCCAATTGATCTCCCTTGCCATCTTTCTTGGCCTTGCCCTTGCCTTTAGATTTGCCCTTAGCAGCAGACGACAATGTCGTCAGAGAAACCAGTGCATTAGCTGATGAAGAGGCAGTGCGAAAGAAAGCACTAGTTTGACAGGTGAGAGGGCAACTGGACATGAGAGGAGTGGACACTGGAGACGGACGGGGTGTCAGACTGTGGGTCGGGCCGTGCAAGGTCTTCTGCTAAGAACACGTGCCCAGAATAGAACAGACGAATCGTCGGGTTCTTCCTGTGCTCGAGCGCTACAACAACGATCCCTGCTACTTCAACGCAGATGTGATTTTCCAGCAGGACAACACATCAACACACTCTTCCCTGTACACGAAGAACTTCCTGTATGATGAGGTGGTCGACACGATGAAATGGCCCGCAAAATCACCCGACTTGTCACCAATTGAGAATTGCTGGGCGCATCTCAAGCGACAAGTGCGCAAACATTGTCGATACACAGATGCCAAGACACAGGAGGACCTTTTTTCCATTACTACAGAAGTCTGGCACTCCCCCGAGTTTGTCAAGTACGCCATTCACTGCTACCAATCTTTTCGTCATTGTCTCCGAGCTCTTCGTGACAATAACTTCTCTTGGACTGATTACTAGTACCTCTAGCTTGTATCATATATACATAGTGTATCCTCTGGGTTGTATTATAGCGTAGTATTGTATAAATCGCTCTCTTGATTCATTTTGATGGCAATTTCCCGATTTGGAAGGGGAATTATATTTTCGCCATGACTGTACTCTATATTCGACAAGTAATCTGTGGTGCATCCTAGTCCTCGCACCAAATGCCCACAGACTATAGTCTGTGCTCTATCACCCCTGGGCTTTGCCAGGCATCTCATCTGCTTCATTTGAGCTAAAAATGAGGGATCGTTGGAGTGGGTCAGGCGGACGGAGGTGATGGCTCTGGATAACAGATCGATAGTCATGTGCTACACTGATCTACCACTACAGGTGCCCCCTTTTGAAATGGCGATGTCCTCGTTGCCTGCTGGACTCTCAGAACCCACATAAACCCATACTCTCACCCTCTAAGGCTGAATCTATGCATAAGATACTGGTGGGCTCCAGAGAATGTAATGCATAAGATATGGGTGCCCACCCAAGCACTAATAGCTGAGGATTGTGACAGAGATTGTGACATTAGATCAAGATGGTCATTATGCAATAGGATTGATAGATATGACTTATGTAATATCATATAAAATATCTTTAAGTCCCTTTTCTTCAGGCCGATGACCCGGTATGTAATTAGGGGGACTGTGTGATATGGAAAAGATAATATCATCCTAATTGGGATGAAATTGATGTATCTCTATATAGCCATCAGAATCAGTGATGGCAATCAAAAATCGTTCCACATCAATGCTTATATCTAAATGGCATCAACCCATCAATGATAGGGCATCAGGACACTCCAATAATCCTAAATTACAGTTATTTTATATATTAAGCAGCAGGACCCATATCTTATGCATTACATTCTGTGGAGCCCACCCATATCTTATGCATAGATTCAGGTATATGAGCTGATACTCTATACTTCTGTACTTCTAACTGCTAAAATCTGCTGCTGAGTGGGCTGTGTAGGGCTTCGAACCAGCGTGATGAGGGCGACATGATATTGATGACGATAATCGATGAATTGTCGGAAAATGGATGTAGGCGCAGTGAGTGTTTGTCGGTGTTGTCCCAGCCCAACGGCTCCACAACTTGGATGACGTTCCGATACAGACGGCCAGCCGGTGCTGACTCTGCACCCTTGGACACGCTCCAATGCAGACAGCCGCTGGCGGAGATGACACAGCCTCACGAGGACTGCGACGGCCTAGATAACGACAGGGAGATGTTTGGTGGACAAGGAACAGAGTCCGGGAGATGGTAGGGGGGATGCGCCAAGGCTACTCTGCTGGAATCGAATACCTGCGAGACAACAGTCACGCAAGGACTACTGGTGGCTTGGTCACTGGGATAGGCGGATAGAAGACATGGGTATGACCACCCATGGACCGAACGTGCAGAGCGGCGCACGAAGAACACTCTTGTCACCACAATGGAGTGGATCAGGCGGACGGAGGTGATGGCTCTGGATAACAGATCGATGGTCACGTGCTACACTGATCTACCACTACATTGTTTGCGATGATGATGGTGGCTCTCAGCCAGTTCCCCTGACAGATGCATAGAATATAACAAGTATTCAACTTAATTTGACTGCTATTTTTGGTATGACATTCAATATAAAGAATTTCAATTCAAATTCTTGTCTAATTAGGTGACTCTTGGCACCAGAGGTGCTTGGAATGTCATAGATAAGACCCGGCTACCAGTTCTCTCTTTGTGCCAAGAGGTACCAATGACTCATAGGGCCTAACAACCTGATCTGAACCTCATGCTGACAGTGACAAGGGACTGCTGAAACAGGCCCTTTTGGCTTAACCTTGACCCCACTCACTTCATTTGTAGGCCTAACAACTTGTCTGTTCTATTCCAGGTGCTTGTTTCTAAAGAGAGGCTTGCACGGCCTGACCCAAAGCTTAATATGGAAATGTCAGAAATTACCCTTTTGGCATATGTTTTTGCTTAAATCTGTGTGATATGTGAAAATTGATATAAATCAGTTGTTTGATGTGTGACAGTAAATACTACAGTACTATATAGTCTAGCACCCTGAGCTTTGGATCCTCCCCTGCTAGGACTCTGATCACAAGCCTCTAGGGCTGCCATTAATCGTAGTATCTCCAGAGAAGTTATAACCCAAAAAGTTGTTCTTGTCATTTAAAAATTGTCCTTAACAAACTTGTATATGTCATTCAGCAAGTTGTCTTAAGCTAAATAGTTGTCTTGAGCAATATTTACATGACAAGCACAAAGTTGTTGTGCTTGATAAAGTAGTCAATATGAAGTATATTTTTAGTTATATTTTACCAAGAAAGGCAGTTGTCTCTAGTCTTCTATAGTATGTCTCTCATACAAGACCTAGCTAAAGTAAGGCAATTACTGCTTGCAAGTTGCAAGTTGCATCTGACTCAGAATATGTTTCTCCATTATCTTCTGGAGAGTCATCTTGATTGCCAGTGAGCGGTGAAACAATTGACAGCGAAACAGTCAACGGCAAGAGCACATGAATGTTCACGTGCACTGACGCGCTTCCCCGCTCACGAGAACATCATGAATCAGCTTCTGGACGGAACGCCGCCGCCGCCTTGATCTTAATAATCTCGTGGGCGTTGATTGCCAAAAAAGGAAGGCTGATATAAGCTCATCTTCTCAGATGAGACTCGCACCAACCCTCACCCACCTTGGATGCACTATAAAGGCACGGGCATAGTCGTCGCTATCATCTCAATCGCAGCTTACTTCGCCGTCCCACGCACCATGTCTGATCCTATTTCCGACTCTACTACCCCCATCTCCCGCACTGTAACCAAGAAAGTCTACGCTGTTGAAACACCAGAGGGGGATGGTGCCATCGGTTCGTTATTTCCATTAGTTTGAAGCAGTCATGGTGCTCATGCATAGCAGTCCGAAGGAGTATTGGTGGTGGCAGTCGTACGTGGACAACAAATTTGCAGAGAACAAGAATTAACTCAGTTCAGTGAAAAACCTCACCCCCTTCCTCATGCTCGACCACTTCCATGCGAGTGCTGGAGCCGGCTTCCCTGACCATCCCCATCGCGGTCAAGCCACCATTACCTACGTCGGTCGTCGTTCACATCGAGAACATGAACTAATCTATCCGTTACAGATGCTCCGGGGGTCCAGCAACCACGAAGATTCTGCTGGCCACAAGGGCGTCATCGAAGCCGGCGGTGTCCAATGGATGACCGCTGGTCGCGGCATAATTCACTCCGAAATCCCCAACTACATCCCCGGAAAACCTGATCCGATCGGCCTTCAACTTTGGGTCAATCTGCCCAAAAAATTCAAGATGGTCAAGCCTTCATACCAAGAGCTCGGTCCTACCCAAATCCCCGTCGCGGAACCAGTCGAGGGCTTGAAAGTCAGGGTGATTAGCGGGAAAAGTCACGGCAAAGAAAGCCCCGTCCGGCCTTTGGGCGGCTGCTGGTACTTCCACTACATCCACGAAAAAGAGGGTCTCGAGACCTTCCAGGAACTGCGTATGTTTCCTCCCAGTCCCCCTCTATATTTTTGCTGAATTATCGGAAGCTGCTGGATGGACCACATTCATTTACATCCTCAGTGGCTCTCTCGTCGTCGGAACCACTAGACCAACGGTGTTTGAGGCCTTCCACACACTCGTCCTCAGTGCCGACGCCAACGAGACAGGGGTTTTGCTCAAGAGCATGAGTCCAGACACCCAATACATGCTCGCCTCGGCCGAACCTATCAACGAGCCTATTGTTCAATACGGTCCCTTCGTCATGAACACCCAGGCCGAGGTTATGCAAGCGTTCAAAGATTGTGCGCATTATTTTTTATTTTTCCTTGCACAATTCTGATTACACCTTGTCAGTCCGTGAGGGACGGAACGGCTTCGAGAAAGCCTTGACTTGGAAAAGCACCATTGCTGGGATGATGTCAAGACGGTGAACTGCATTCAATACACATAACTGCTGCTGTATCATTATCTCCACCTTTTCATTGACACTTGTTCCGTGTTTGCCTATGTGGACTCGTTACTACTGCGGTTGTCTAAAGCGTTTTGCGCCCATCGAACTGTCTCCTCGCAGGCGTTGACCAGGGGATTCAATGCCGCAAAATGCCAGCCAGCAGACGAGGCATATGCTGGGGGCAGAATTGGTGCATAAAGGGCGGCAGCGGCGAGGGCAAGGTATGTATGGTATGGGTCTTCAGACAAGTCAGAGTAGCCAACACAATTGTCGTGAGATTACCAGGAAACTCATCAGGCGCCTTCGCGATCCCACCATAGGTAAACTGACAACGAGAAATAAAGTCAATCAGTGCATACGCGTCTATCTTGTCCTGTGCACCCAGAATCTGAAATTGCATTCAAACACCAACTAACAAAAAAAACCAATCATGCTTACTCGGAGTGCGGCGCCGCCCCAGAAGCAGTAACAGGAATCGGGTGGTTTGCCTGTCCGACCACGAAAACCGCCGGAAGGGGCAACTTGGTTATGGACCAGCCAGTTTTCCGAACGAGCCCGATCGACAGAAGACAACCTTGCGCTCGCTCGCGAGTGTTGTGGACCGTAGCGATGACTTGCGGCTGGAGGGGGTGCCATTTGCAGGCATGCAATCGCAAGAAAGGTCGTACCACCTGGAACAAATGTTAGCGGAGAAGCGAAACCAAGGTCAGAGTGCCAGTGACCTTGAGCCTCGCATCCTGGCAATTGGCCATAACCACCTTCATAAGTCTGTTCATTCTCCATAAGTGACCTCCGAGTCAACCAAAGATTTTCCCCACCCGACAACGTCCAACAAAGTCGATCGCTTGCTGGACGTTTATCGCTCGCCAGCCAGTTTCCCCGAAGAGAGAGCAGATGCAAAATGCACAATAGATATTCCGCATGTCTCCTTCGGCTGTTGAGTACGTGCTGGAGCTCGACAGTGGTGGTGTTGAAGCAAAGGACCCATCAGCCCTTTGACATACTCGCAGAAACGTTAGAATTCCCGGCTGACTGAGACGCGAAAAATCGTCCCGAAGAGCAGCTAGCGAGAGAATCGCAGCATACGTGGATATGATATGCGGGGTTGAGCTCTTCATCTGTAGACTTTCGTTAAAGGCGTTCGATACCAGATATTAACTTGAACTTGAAACTACTCACCGAGGTCCCCGGTTTGAATGCTGTCCCTAATGGCCCAGCTACCAAATAATGAGGTCAAAATTAAGACACTGAATCATCTACCGATGTACTGGTCCCATATCCAGCTTCTCCACGACTCTCGTTGTGCCAAAGTGGTCTGCTGATCGACTTCGCCCAGTAGATCAAGGGTGGAGATGCAGTAAAAAATTATCAGCATTCTACGAGAAATCACTGCTCAGCCCTGGAAATGCGCCGAGTGCATGTCGTCTACTACCTGGACGAGTCTAGGTCCACCATGGCCGCTGGAATCTGTGCCAATGCTTGAGTTACATGATGGATATGTGCATTGCGAGATAGCAGAGGAAGGGAAGGCAAGTCCATGCCAACCCGTTGGGAATCTTGTGTCCAAAAAGCCCGGGGCTAGTAGTTATAGTCGGCTCAATTGTAGCTCGAAGGTGCACCCCCAGCAGCGTTTTCTTGGGTCGTCCATTGCTTTCAGGCGATCATCAGCTAGAATGAGGGAATTCCGGCGCGCATCGAGGGGCGTGGCTCATCGCAGAATAACATGCCTGGCTGTCGTGCACAGGGAACCGCATTTTCTGAACAAAAACCGGTACGGGGGCCGATTTGCCGAGGCTGGTGAAGCTTGAGTGCCCGAATAGATGCCCAGGATTCAGCATCAAATCGAGTGATAATCGATGTGTTTATTGTGCATTGTGCGTTTGAGGGAATTGAAAGTTTCGAGCGTCCGGTGGTAGCAATGTGATGAGTATTTGCCACTCTAAGAGTTGCATACGGGGTATTGAAGAGGTGACGCTCGACGCGACCGATGTTGAAAGACACAAACGACGAGTTGTTGGCCAGTATTCAGTGTCAACTGCCAAAACTTTAAAATGCCAGCGAGTAGTACATCCGAAAGACGTCTTCGACGCCTGACACAATGATATACATTCTAGTGCTTCTGGAAGGAGACATGAAAACAATGTATCCAGCGAAACCAGTCAGGACCATCAGGACCTCACGAGCGCATTTGGTGGTATGTAAGTTCGTCTGGTGGGAGAAATGGGAAGATATGGACGGAGGATTTTCCTCTGGAGCCAGCGAGTATCAATATCACTTCCATATGTAAGCGCTGCAGCATGGGATGGAAGTCGCCAGCTCGATGATTATTGATGGTTGGCGGAAATGAGGGTAACGCGTGACACCACTGTTCTCAAACCAATTTGTGCAAAGACAACTCAAGCTTGCAATAATTCTGCGCTGCTACTGCTACTCCTGTAGGCTATGACTAACATTCCCGGAAGCCAAAAACGGTGAGCCGTCGTTTTCACTGGCTACTCCGAGTCAGTCGTGCTTCGAATTCTTTGTTACTAGTATTGACGGCTCAGGCTTCCCGAATATGATCACACCCAGCTGATATGGAACGAGCCAGCGATATCCCACTTCTGTCCGCCTGTAGCCCAAGCTTCAGGGCTCAATTTGCATAGGCCGCGCATGCCTCAACGATCAAGCAACTCAGAGAGACTGAGAGAGTGCAGACATTATCTCGTCGAATGATACTTATCGTCTCATAACGATAGAATACCTCCCCCCGCTTGAAGGAATGCAAGCCCCCTGCGCACTACTCGGACCACCGCCAACATGCTTACTATGACTTGGAACCGTTTGCAAGCCGCTTTCAAATCAGTCCAGGTCAGCATCAGGGTTTAGTCATCTGCAAACCTGATTTAAAACTACAACTCTCATCCGAAACTGCACTCGCTTCAATATGGTGACATACCCGATATTTGGTTTTGATACGACGGGTGAAGAGGTGGCTACGGCATTCGCCAAAGAAATCCAAGGCAAGAATGGTTAGTCGCTCTACGATCCCTGGTCCGTTATGAGGCTGAAACTGCCTAGTTCTCGTCACTGGCACTTCGTTGAATGGGATTGGTTTCGAGACAGCCCGAGCGGTCGCGAAACATGCGAATCTGGTCATCATTACCGGATACAGCAACGAGAGGTGGCCCAGACCCGCTCCCCATATTCAAGCTCATCTCCCAACAGGTTAAGGCTTTCGGAAGACGCAATCAAGAAAGAGATCCCTTCAGCCAATGTTCGGCGCCTGACTCTTGATTTATCCTCACTGGAAGCTGTTCGAAAGGCTGCAGCCGAAGTCAACGCATACCCGGAACCCATCCACATCCTCATCCACAACGCTGCTGCAGGTTTCGGTCAATTCCAACTCACAGTTGATAAGCTTGAGAATCAGCTTGCGACGGACCACGTTGGCCCGTTTTTATTGACCAAGCTTATCAAGCCCAAACTTCTCGCTGCTGCGAGTGCAACATTCACGCCCCGCGTTGTTTTCGTCGCGAGCGGCGCACACGCGTCGGTCTTTGGGGATGGTGTTGACCTTGACTATCTGAAAGCACCTTCCCCAAACAAGTATAACAGTGCAACGGTCTACCATCAAGCTAAATCGGCCAATATCTTGACTGCAAGCGAACTTGCACGTCGTGCCAATGGCGCGATTCTTGCTTACAGTCTGCATCCCGGTGGTGAGTTTGCTATTATATGCTTTCTATCGACTTGTGTCGAATCTAGCATTATAGTTATCCTCACCAATATAATCACATCGTCGACGGATCCTATCACTATCGCAGCGTTGCAGCAACTCCAAATTCTCGACAACGACAAGAAGCTCAATACAAAGGAGATCCAGTGGAAGACTATATCGCAAGGGGCAGCAACGTTTGTTTCACATTATATTTCGTCTTCCGCTTCCCACATTGACCTCTTCAAGAACTATCGCGGCGGCTTTTGATCCTCGTGTTGCAGCACACTCTGGAGCGTACCTCGATGATTGCAAAGTCGCAACTGAGACCGTCTCCCATCATGCTATTGATCCGGTAAGCTTCTGAGCCTCTGGAAGCGATGTGGCTCACCCCTCGAAAGCTGAAGGCGAAGAAACTCTGGGAAGTGACGGAGGAAATTATTGGAGAAAAATTCGTGGTTTAGGTTTGGTTTACATAGGCATACTACCCGTGCTATTCGCGTCGGTATAATAGCCTATCAACATCGGGGTCAACCTGGAGGAAAATACAAGTATACGCCGAGAGGAATTAAGGGAACAAGTGCTGGCTCTCTTTAACTTGAGTCTTAAGCCGCCACTGGAGCTCTGAGCTAGACGGTAAGTACTTATACTGTAAGTACTGTAGCCGACTGACTCGGAGTTTGATTTGGGCACTCTCCTTCGGAAAATACACGCATGTCTGGATAAACTTTGAATATACTGATGTCTTCGGCATCTCGCAAGCAGTAGGACAAGCAGACGCGAATAAGTATGTACTAGGGCATATTGTGGCACGTGCGCGCACGGGGTCCGAGTCACGGCCGCGGCCACCGCCGCCACCGGTCACATCCGTGTCTACTTTAGCTTTTTCCTCCGTGAACATGGCCGCAAAGGGCCGCAAATCTGCGCCGGTCCGATATGTTTACCGACTCCAACAGTCGCCTGGAATACAGTACAGATCTTTGCGGCGTCGGGTCAGTTCCCTTTTACAACAGGTTACGGCAACCACCGCAACACCTGGATTTTGCCTGGATTCTTCTTGTCTCTCGGTCTCTGTCTGGTGTCTCGAATGAGGTCCTTACTCATACATCCTTCATGCAAGCCTCGACGAGCGGTTCTAATCCTTGTCATCCTTGGGATTGTTCTCCTTCTTTTCACGCACCCAACAACCCGCGCGAGAGGCTACACTTTCCTTGGTCTCTCTATTGCGCCATCGTACTACTGGCTTCGTTTTCAAGCCGAGCGGCTGCCACAACATAATCTTGCCTTGCCATTTCCTGAAGGTAAAACTGGCCGTTATGTGAAGTTTTCGGTGCAGGTGAACTTTTTGGGGTGGAACAACTGCCTGGGAGAACGGTGTGTAGTTGTCACTATCTTTGATGTGTGTGCCCTCTAATCCTTCTAGATTAATGAATGCTCATCTTGCTCATGTTTCCAATCGCGCCTATGTTTTCTCTGACTATTGGTGGGCCCCTGAACACTTCCCATTCTCTCCCGCTCCGAAGTCTGGTGCGCGGACACCAATGGGTGCCCTTCTCGCCGGTCCAGTTGTCGGTGGCCCATGGCATCGCGACACAACCTTTCTAAACGACTCTTCTCATCCCAAATCACCTCGTGCAATCTCTGAACGATGGTGGAACATTATCTGCCCACTGTCGTCCCGCCGACTTATCAATACGGAGGACATCAAGCCCCATATTCCTGGCGGAGTAGACCATGCGGCAGGTCAACTAATTTTCGATACGTGGCGCAAACTATTATTGGAAGCGGAGGAGAGCTGCGTGGAGATCGTGTATACCTCATTTGATGCGGATACGTTCCCTCAAATATTCGATCTGCGACTGTGGGGTGGTCAGCGAGTGCTAGAGCTCTGGGAGGCCTTCTCCGCGTCTCCTGTCAGCACCCTATTACGCCCTTCCAATATCGTATCAGCCGCTGTGGAGAGCAATCTTCGCAAAGGTGTCTTCCATGGGAGAACGGGTGGAGGTCGGCCACCCATTGGCATGCCAATGCCTTTTCGTCACATGCTTGCGATCCATCTCCGCCGCGGGGACTACATCAACCATTGTCGTTTCCTCGCAAGTGTGGGTTCGGGCTATTATGGATGGTCGCAATTGAAATTCCTCCCCGACGTGGCTGCCCATCGATTTCCCGGCTCAGACGATCCGCAGAGGGAGGCCAAGGCATTTGCTATGTGTCTTCCCGATATCAAGCAAGTGGTTGCGCGGGCCCATCAAGTAAGGCAGGACTGGGATAAGGCGCTGGACACTGTCTATTTGCTCACCAATGAGTCCGGCGAGTTTCTGGACATTCTTGTTACGGCTCTTCTTCGGGGTGGTTGGCGGACCGTGGTAACGACCCACGATTTGCAACTCGATAACGAACAGTTGGGCGTGGGTATGGCGGTGGACATGGAGATCGCCAAGCGGGCAGAGGTTTTTCTAGGAAACGGGGTCAGTTGTGCCCAGCTGCTCTCCTAATGCTAACACAACTTCTCCCAGTGGTCTTCATTCACCAGTAATGTGATTCATCAACGATTAGTAGCTGGCAAGGATCCAAAGAGCATTAGAATGTTGTAGCTGACCTACATTTGTAATAGTATACTGGTTTCCCAAAGAATAGTAGTAGAGGCTCTGGACGGACTGGAGATCACAGAAGAAGAACTAAGAACTGATCCGTGACTCACCGAAGCTTACGAGAGCATCTCGTCACGCCACAGCTCTCTCTCACTCGCATATTCTGCGCGCAACCAATGGATTCCCAAATTACTTTACCCTCTTGGTCATTTTTCTTGGTGGCGCCCAAGTCGAAGTCTGCTTACCGCTTCTTTTGCTGACTATGGCTTTCGTCTTGCAAATGCTTCCTCCTTATTCAGCTACAGTCTGGGTCGGCGACCAGTCATCTCCCGAATTTCCCGTAAGCAGACTCAACAGGGCATTTGATACCACTTATAAGAACATTTCGTAGAGCTTCATACACCGGATTTCGTCTACTTTTGCCTTGCACACCGAACCAACTTGAGCTTTGAGGCTATTAATAATAACTATGTCCAACTATCCGACCTTCACCTTCGAAACCACGGCCGAAGAAGTCGCCGATACTTTTGCGAGCGAAATCAAGGGGAAAAACGGTGAGTATCTACTCTCTCTCCCGCGCCCAAGCTCAAAGTTGTGACACTTTCCAGTTCTTATTACTGGAACATCCCTCAACGGTATCGGGTATGAAGCAGCTCGGGTTGTTGCCAAATATGCCAACCTTATCATCATCACTGGATATAATGACGAAAGGTATGTCCCTGGCTTTCGCAGTTCTACTTTCGCTCACTCCAAGCAAGGTTAAAACTTTCTGAGACAGCTATCAAGAAAGAAAACCCCACTGCGAACATCCGACGTCTTACCCTCGATCTCTCGTCCCTCGCAGCAGTCCGTAAAGCTGCAGCGGAAGTAAATGCTTACTCCGAACCAATCCACGTCCTTATCCACAACGCTGCCGCTGGGCTCGGGCCATTCAAAACCACTGTCGACAAACTAGAGCTACAGTTAGAAACAGACCATGTTGGGCCATTCCTTTTCACCAAACTACTCAAACCGCGGCTTTTGGCGGCCTCGAGTACTACATACAAGCCGCGAGTCGTATTCGTGTCGAGTGGCGCACATGCGTGGGCGAACGGTCTCGACCTCGCCGCCTTCAAGACGCCCGAAGCGGGCAAATACACTCCAGAAGGGGCTTACTTCCAAGCCAAGTCCGCCAACATCTTGACAGCGAGCGAGCTTTCACGCCGTTCAAAGGGCGCGATTTTGGGCTACAGTCTGCATCCGGGAGGTATGTCTATATTCCGAATATGTCGGGGGTGTATTTCTGACTCTGGAACTAGTTATTCTCACTAATATCAACACTGCCGAGGACGCTCTCCCGATTATGAAGGCCATGAAAATCCTCGACGCTGACGGGAAGCCCAACACGAAAGACTTCCAATGGAAAACAATCCCTCAAGGCGCGGCGACGTGAGTCCCATGAATCATGAAAGTGCTGATATCACGATGACTTATCTCGAATGTTAGCACGGTTACTGCTGCTTTCGACCCTCGCATCATCGAAACTCCTGGTGCCTATCTGGACGACTCGAAGGTTGCGACCGAGACTGTTGCTGCTCATAGCACGGACGTAGCGAATGCGGAGAAGTTGTGGGCAGTTACGGAGGAGATTATAGGCGAGAAATTTGAATTTTAGAATACTTAAATCCTGTACTATGCATCTGGTATATAACCTACATCTACGGTCAACCCTTCAGCGCGAAGCCTATAAACTTTCTCCCTGAATTCCTCCAACGGCTCCTCTGGTTGGCGGTGCGTGGCTGCAATGAACACCTTGTTTAAGCGAGCACCGCCCGACGACTGCAATGGTTCTTCCGACCACCAACGCGACGAAATCATTGCGCTGACGATGTATTCACTGTAATCGGGGCCGATGGAGGATATGTAGCCTGTAATGATTCGAGTGATTTTCCCTCCATATTATAGAATGTGTGTGTGTGGTGTTTGAAACTTTATTAAGCTAGTATTAAGGATTGAGACAAATGAAAACTGCGCGGTCATCCACTCACCGATTCCGACCACTCGGAAGACCATGGAAAGTAACAGGAAAGAAAAGTGAATGATCAGCGTGACCAAGCTGTGACTCCCATCTGACGTCTTTCGTGAAGCTTTCGTGTTCTTTCCAAGTTCTTTCTTCAATTCACCACAGTTGTGTTTAACTCAAGCCGAGCTCGGACAGATCACATCATGCAACTGGAGATCACCAGCACACTCGTGGAACAACCGTGGCGTGATTAACTCAAGTTGTCTCTCAGCGTTTGAACTTTGCCCCTGGCACGGGTGCTACGTCGAGCCTCAGCCTGGGACGAGATACAAAGAGAGACCTTGTTCAAGCTGATTCGAGTCGTTGTTCGGTTGCAGTGGAGACGGCGGCCGCTTCAGCTGCGAGTCCTTTGAAAGGTATGGGAAACAGATGGATCAACGCCGGTGTATACTCAGCTCCATCTACAGTGGTTCGACAAGACCCCCCTTTTGAGGGACAGGTGCAGTACTAGGGCAGACCAACAGCGCAACTAGTTTCATGTCCTTTTACATCCAGTACTTACGCTACTTTTTATATAGCTTCGATGGTCCATTGCCTCCGAAACTTCAGCCACATCACGAAGAAAGTCACGCGAATATTAATGTTTCAATGTCCTGGAATAACTCTGGCTCATTGTCGCAAGAGGAGTAGGTCAGCAGATGGTCACCAAACGAGTGTATAAACTCGCTGGTTCGAGGCTTTCGTCAGATACTTACAGGATGCCAGCCTTCACAGTAACTGGAGCTTTCTTTGCGACGGCGTTGCTCTTGAGCTGCGCCTATGCAGGCACGACTTCGACTGTCAGTAACTGGGGAGACAATCCGTCTCATTTGCCGGCATTGTTGGTCTACACCCCGACAACTGTCGCCTCGAATCCTGCAATAGTCCTTGCAGTAGGTTGAGCCTTCCCCTCTCGTGAAACCACACTGAATGTTGATCTGTAGCTCCATCCATGCGGCGGGACTGGCTCACAATTCATGTCTCAATTCAACATCCCAAGCTACGCAGATCAGCTCGGCTTTCCCATCCTCTATCCAACATCTAACCAGCAGCTCGGCTTCAACTGCTGGGATGTCCATTCGACTGCGTCGACCACACACAACGGCGGAGGCGATTCGCAGGGGCTTGCCGCTATGGTTACGTGGGCGACGACCCAGTTCAAGAGCGACGGTTCGCGTGTCTTCATTATTGGCGCGTCATCTGGAGCTATGATGGCCAATGTAATGGCTGCGACGTATCCCAACCTTTTCAAAGGGGCGGCCTCTTGGTCAGGTGTTCCGGACGGTTGCTTCGCAGGCGACACGTCGAGCACACCGTCCAGCCCAGACCAGAGTTGCGCGCAGGGCCAGCGGGCATTGAACACTACCGCCGCCCAATGGGTTGCATTGGCAAAGAACAGCGATCCTGGCTACAATGGCTCTCGTCCAGCAATGCTTATCACACACGGAACGGCGGACTCGCTGGTGACGATAGCCAATCTTGGTACCCAACTCGCGCAATGGAGCGGTGTCTTGGGACTGAGTTGGTCAAAGAACATCACCAACGACCCAACTACTAACTGGAAGCGCATCGTCTACGGAGATGGAACAAAGCTTATCGGATTCGAGGTTGCTGGTGGTGGCCACATCCCGCCATTTCAGGGTGATGCGACCTTCAAGTTTTTTGGGCTGCTCGGTGGTGGGTCGGTCTCTACGACAACCACGGTCAAGAGCACTACATCAGCATCGGGTACCACGACGAGTGCGCCGCCTCCGACTGGCTCACAGGCGGCTCATTGGGAGCAATGTGGGGGGCAGGGCTGGACCGGCCCCACCACTTGCGTGGCACCGTATAAATGTACGGTGAGTAACCCGTACTACTCGCAATGCCTCTAGGACCGTATGTATGCAGCTAAAGCAGGATACATACAGACCATTGTGATTGAATCTCTCAAATTTCCTTTTTTAGTCAAACAATTTTTTTTTGATACTAGTAGTCAATCATTGAACAATGAACATGTTCTACCAATACATTGTACACGTGCCCAAGCAGCGACCCCTTCTTCAGAGAACAAGCTTTACTTGCCAAAGCAGAATTATAGAATCATAGACTCTCTGGAATTTGTCTTGTATACTGCAATGCTGCTTGGGACACTAGTAATACTAAGCAGAGCGGAACTGCGGAGGACTGTATTTGAAGTATTTCTAGGCTTGCCTTGGGCTTGACTTATTGTTTGTTAGTGCTCGCTAGTATAGCTGGTCATAGGCCGACGTACTCGTAGGAATTTAAACTCGTAGGAGGGTACAGTGGCTGGTTGGGCGGCCTGGTAGTCAGTTGTGCCATTTGGGCTTTATTATTAATATTATTATAGATATCATTAGGCTCGAACCAGCCCAACGGGCACGAGGGAGGACAGATGTGGTGCCCGTAGTTTACTGCCCAACGTATTCCGGAAGGAAAGCTGCTTCAGAGCCTAAGGTATCATGGTTCAGGGGTAAAAGGGGGAGTATAAGTAGCACAACTTGGTATTTATACATTCATTTTGAGACGCAAGACATTACAAACACTGGGAGTAGTATGGGTTGCTCACGGTGCAAGTATACGGAGCTACGCAAGTCGTAGGCCCAGTCCAACCCTGTCCACCACATTGGCCCCAATGAGCCGCCTGTGAGCCACTTGGAGGAGAACTCGAGGTCGTGCTCGCAACGGTGGTTGTGCTCTTGACTGTCGTTGTAACTCCAGTCGTTGTCGACCCCGACCCCGTTCCACCGCCAAGCAACCCGAAGAATTTGAACACAGCGTCTCCCTGGAACGGTGGGATGTGTCCGCCACCAGCAACCTCGAAGCCGATCAGTTGAGTCCCGTCACCATAAACGATGCGCTTCCAGCTGCTCGTGGGGTCGTTTGTGACGTTGTGGTTGAATGTGAGGCCCAAAACGGTACTCCACTGTGCCAGCTGGGCGTTAAGGTTGAGGATAGAAACAAGACTGTCGGCGGTTCCGTGGGTGATCAGCATTGCGGGACGGGAGCCGGAATAGTTGGGGTCTGCGTTCTTGGCAAGTGTTGCCCACTGAGCGGCAGAGAAAGTCGAAGCTTTCTGACCCAAAGGACAGGTCTGATCGGGAGTGAGGGGAGTGCTGGATGTCGCATTGAGCCAGCAGCCAGCTGGAACACCTGACCAAGAGGCAGCGCCTTTGAACAAGTCTGGATATGTCGCAGCCATAACGTTGGCCATCATAGCACCGGACGATGCGCCAATAATAAACACTCCCTTCGAACCGTCACTCTTGAATTGGGTCTTTGCCCACCCAACCATTGCGGCGAGACCTTGCGAGTCACCACCCCCGTTGTGGAGGTTGGTCTGGGTTGACCAACAGTCCCAGCAGTTGAAGCCGAGCTCTTGGTTGGAGGTGGGGTAAAGCACGGGGAAACCGAGCTGGTCGGCGTACGTGTTGATGTTGAATTGAGACATGAACTGCGAGCCGCTACCGCCACATGGATGAAGCTTAAATGAAATGGCTTGAGCTAATGAGCAATATGGATGGCTGGGATGACACACCGCAAGAATAATCGGGGGGTTCGAAACAACCGTTGACGGAGTATAGACCAACAACGCGGGCAGATGGGAGGGATTGTCTCCCCAGTTGCTGACCGTCGATGTACTTCCTGCATAAGCTCCCCACACAAATAGGGTTGCCACGAAGAAAGACTGAGAGAGGCGCATGTTGTCCTACGTTGAGGTTACTGGTCCTGCTCGCCCGCAACGAAAACACTTTATACACTCGTTTGGATCGTCGTCCGCTGACCGCCTCCCTTTGCGATATTGAGCCAGAGTTACTCCAGCGAAGCCCTGTGGTGGCCAGAGCGCCTGGAAAGCCGACAGCGTCGCACCATCCACGTGATGAAATTGCCCCGACGAACTTGCGAAAGACGCAGATATATTATGACACTGAGCGTCATTCTCGGAAGCAGTGTGTCGGGGCTTGGCACCTGGTCTGTGGCAGTAGGCGGCGGTTGCCCAATGACTCCAATCCTTTGTCATCTACTTGTGAATATATTTTACTTCGTTGTCTCGAGGAGCGAGACACACACAAGCCAATTTCAAAAGAGACAACTCCGGCAGCGCCATGAACAGAACAAGAACGAAAGCCGGAAGAGTAGGTCGGACTGCAGCATTGTCAGCCATGAAATGTCACAGCGGAAAGCTTGCAAAGCCTTGCATCGCTCACATTCAACGATTGTGTGTGTGAGTTAATTGTCGTCGTCGTCGTCGTACTCTGGTTCAAGCATGGTTGATTCAGAGTGACAAGAGTCACAAGGAGGTGACAATGAGTGACGCCATGTGACTCTTGTTGATTCTTGCGTCGATGCAGCCTGCAGGATGCACAATGCAATGATGCAATAGCAATGGCGAGCTTCCCGCTATATATCATCTAAGAAGAGATGCTGACACATATCCGCCATCTGCTCATGAGTAATGATATTCTCAGCAGCATTGCGGACTTGTTCAAGAAGTTGATAGACTGTGAGAAACTCACTACGCTCACCGACAACAACAGCTGACAATTAGCACAGCGATAAGAATTCTGCTGCTGACCTATACGATCTTCCTGAAAGTTCGGCTTTGTAAACTCGAAGAGGCGTGGGCGAGACAGTGTACATGGAGCTGTCGGAGCGGCGAAGTCTTCGTCAGCCTCTGGTGGCTTGATTCCCAGAGATGTCCATCAGGTGTATATAAGCTCACAACTCGAAGTTTTCTGTCCACAACAGCACTCTGATTCCCCACGAGATTATTTCACCTCTAGCAATGGCGACATATCCCAAGTTTTCTTTCGAAACCTCGGCTGACGAGGTTGTGACCGCATTCGTTGATGAGATTAAAGGGAAAAATAGTCAGTCGCAGCTGTTTCTTACTTTTTACTAAGATAACCTTCAGTCCTCATCACCGGCACCTCTTTGAACGGCATCGGTTTCGAAGCCGCTCGCGCCCTCGCCAAGCAGGCAAACCTCGTCATCATAACGGGATACAACGACGAGAGGTGGTCTTTCGCATGTTTGAAGCCATTCCTCTCATCGACTCGTAGATTGAAGTTATCTGAAGACGCAATCAAGAAGGACAGTCCTAGCGCCAATGTCAGACGTCTCAAGCTTGACTTGTCGTCTCTTTCTGCCGTCAGAACAGCTGCAGCAGAAGTTAACGCATATGCCGAGCCGCTCCACGTGCTTATCCACAATGCTGCCGCCGCCCTCGGGCGCTTCAAGGTCACCGTCGATGGGCTTGAGAGCCAGATGGCCACAGACCATGTCGGCCCGTTCCTCTTCACCAAGCTCTTGAAATCAAAACTCCTTGCTTCAACCACGGCAAGTTACACGCCTCGAGTGGTGTTCGTGTCAAGTGGCGCGCATGCATTCGGGAATGGCGTCGACCTTGCTTTGATGAAATCACCAGACGAAAGCAAATACACTGCTACCGATGCATATTTCCAAGCCAAGTCCGCTAACATTCTCACCGCTATCGAACTTTCGCGTCGTTCCAAAGGGACGATCCTGGGTTATAGCGTTCATCCCGGCAGTAAGTTGTTTACTTGGAGTTTTAAGGCCAGACTCTTATCGCCATGCAGTCATTTCCACGAATATCAATACTGCGGCAGACTCAATTCCTATTTTGCAGGGTATGGGCATCCTTGACGCTGATGGCCAACCCAATACGAAGGACTTTGAGTGGAAGACGATCCCTCAAGGAGCCGCAACGTGCGTTCTCAGCGCGTATATCGCTCCTACTTATGGCTCACATGCACTCTAGTACCGTCGCGGCTACGCTGGATCCTCGTCTCACGACAACTCCTGGAGCTTACCTCGACGACGCGACAATAGCGACCGATAAGGTCGCCAGCCATAGCTCTGACCCAGTTAGTCATCTTCATGCAGTTAAACAACGAACTCTAAAATCTCACTGGCAGGTCCGAGCAGAACAACTGTGGAATGCAACGGAAGAAATTGTCGGGGAAAAGTTCGAATTTTGAAGGCCCGGGCCCATCTCCGAGCCCCAGAGTCGCAGATATAATTATATGTAAATGCTCCCTGGCTGTTCATTGAAACATCGCCGTCCACATCCACTCGGGTCTGTTTACTGACTTAACTTCTGAAGTTCATAAGCGCGACCAAACTCACAGCCAATTTCTTTGACCCGCTTGTGACCGTGACCTGACGATCTCCATTTGCTCCCACGTTCCTCAACACCGCTGGATGATTTTCGCGAGCGCCGCCACTCGCGGCAATGCAATGAATTACACGGGGATTGCGAAGTGGATCCGCAGTTCGCACAGCCTTGTCACTGCCCCATGCTCTTCCATCAACGACTTGAGTTCGCTCGATGGTAGCCAGGGCCGTTTGAGGCCCAGCACCCACCCAATAACTGTACCCATCGCCACAAATTCATGGATGCCATATGTAGAAACACTGGACCACTGCGGTAATTCTATCCCTATCCCTATCCCACAGACATTCGGCGTTGAAACGTTTTCCCTCTCATCGGCATGCCGATCGGCCAATCTTCACCTCGGGTCAGTTTCCTTTTGCGCATCTTATGGCACAGAAATACTAGATTCGTGGCCACCGCGTTTCTGTCTTCCGCGTTCATACCCGACATCTTCAGGCAAAACTGCCTTGAGCTCGAATGAGCGGTCGATGGTCGTCGTTCACCCCAACTTCATACAAAATCCGCCGAGCCTTTCTTTTCCTCATTATCCTTTCGGTGGTCTTTCTCTTGCTCGTCTCACACCCAACAACCCGCACAAGAGGCTACAAATTGCTGGGTGTCTCAATTGCTCCGTCATACAACCAACTCCGACGCAAAGTCGAGCGTCTACCGCAACACAACCTCGACCTGCCTTTCCCCGAAGGCAAGAACGGCCGTTATGTGAAGTTTTCGGTACAAGCCAACTTTTTGGGATGGAATAACTGCTTGAACGAACGGTGCGTGGGTACTGTACATGTCTTCGATGCTCTTGTGCTCAGTGCTCACAAGTTGTCAGATTAATGAATGCTCATCTTGCTTATGTCTCTAATCGCGCATATGTTTTTGCGGACTATTGGTGGGCCCCAGAGCATTACCCTTTCCCTCCCGCTCCAGAGTCTGGCGCTCGAACGCCAATGAGCGCACTTCTTGCTGGTCCAGTTGTTGGTGGCTCGTGGCATCCGAGTCATCCTTCCGGACCCAACCCACCTCGAGCAATTTCTGAAGCATGGTGGGGAACCGTTTGCCCCCCTTCATCTCGCCGTCTCATCAATGTCGAGGATGTGAAGCCCAGCATCCCAGGCGGGGTTGACCATGCTTCCGGTCAACTCATTTTCGATACATGGAACAAGATATTGCTAGAAGCAACGGAAAATTGCATCGAGGTTGTTCATACGTCGCTACAAATCGAACCGTTTCCTCAGATTTTCGATCTTCGGATTTGGGGTGGCCAACGGGTTTTGGAGCTCTGGGAGGTATTCTCGACGTCTCCTGTGAGCACCCTGTTACGCCCGTCGGAAATTGTGGCATCGGCCGTGGAAGGCAATCTACGCAGGGGCGTTTTCCACGGGAAAACGGGCTGGGGCCGACCAGCTGTGTCGAACGATCCGTTCAAGCGCATGCTCGCCATCCATCTTCGGCGCGGAGACTACATCGAGCATTGTCGTTTCCTTGCGAGTAGTGGTTCGGGCCATTACGGCTGGTCACAATTACCGATGCTCCCTGACGTCGCCAACCACCGACTACCGAGCCCAAATGATCCTCATCGGGAAGAGAAGGCATTCGTGATGTGTCTCCCAAATGTAGACGAAACCTTGCTGCGAGCTCAGCAGGTCAAGCAGGATTGGGGGAGGAAGAACCTCGATATTCTCTACTTACTCACCAACGAGTCCGGCGAGTTCCTGGACAATCTCGTTGCGGCATTGCGACATAACGGCTGGCCAACAGTTGTTACCACTCACGATCTATGGCTGAATAATGAACAGCTGGATGTGGGGATGGCGGTGGACATGGAGATCGCCAAACGAGCAGCGGTCTTTCTTGGCAATGGGGTTAGTCCTTCGTACTAGATAACTCTCAACTTGAATACTGACACAATTAACAGTGGTCTTCTTTCACCAGTAATGTGGTTCATCAGCGACTAGTAGATGGCAAGGACCCCATGAGCATTAGAATGTTGTAGTGGACATGTGTAACACTTTATAATATGTACTAGGATACTAATTCTCCAAAGCATAGCAGAGCTTCAGTGTCTTTCAAGTTTAGCTGGGGTCCTGTGAACCAGTCCTTGCGACTTATCAATTGCAATCCCAATCCCAGCCCACTCAAGCTTGAAATGCTGATGCAGGACTCGGAGTAATTTCTGAGAATCGGTTGCCGGTGCTCAGGTACAACACATGAGGCCTGCATGAGGCGCTTCCCGACAGACGCGGCGGGACACAAGCCAATGATAGAGCTTGAAGGTATTTGTGCGAAACTCGCGAGGAGGGTCTTGAGCAGACGCCTGTGATTATTATGACTCGGATTAGATAACTTGGAGAATATATGGTAAGATGAAGAGCAACTATGTACAGTACATAGTAAACAGCTTGCGCTACTGTATTCCCTTTGCTTAAAATGTTGCGGATTCTAATAAGGCGTTTTCGAAGCAGAGTGGAGCTTGAGTCGGAGGGTTGGTCTTTGGAACAATGTCAAGGCGCGGGAAAGATCGGTAACATCGCCTTCGACTGTGACAACGGAGAGGTCCAAGAGCTCAAGTTGATTGTGTTCCTGTAAGGCAGGAGCCACTGAATCAATGCTGGAGAGTGGTGGGGAAATTAGACGGAGAGAACGCAAGTTGGGTAGGTGGTTGGGCATCCCCAGGATTGCGAAGACTTCATTGACATCCTCTTCAACTAGTGGTCCTTTGTCTCCGGCGCCGAGTCGTAGATCAAGCCCGACCGTGTGCAACATAGGCGCCACCTTCAGGCCTGCCACGATGGCGGCGGGAGACGTCCTTTCGAAAAATAAGGCATGCAAAGGCCACGTAGAGCGCTCGGCTAGTAAGCTGAGCTTCCCAATATCTGACTCTTCCATATTTTCAATTTCGAGTGTCGTGAGGGCAGGAAGCGTAAGACGGGGAATGAGGGGCAATGCATAATGAAGTCGAAGTATGCGCAAGGCAGGCATCGGGATTAGCCTTCCAGCGACATCCGGTTGATGATACACCGAAGAAAAGCCGGAGCGTCTGAGAGTAAAGTCTAATTCTTGCAACAATGGCATTTGTTCGAGCAGTGGCGAGATCTCATACAACTCCCGGTAGACTGCCTCGAATTTTGTGATTTGACTCCATGGAAGAGTGATCCAATCCGTAGAGGCATGGATCAAACGTGCTGAAGTGAGTTGAGGAGCGATGAGGTTATCAAGAAGGGCCGATTCATGGAGGGCATCTTCGTCTTCATGCTGGGCCTCGTCTATTATCAACGAGAAGTCTTTCAACATCGGAAACGAAATTTCACGGTAGAAATGGTCGACAGTGCGTCGGTCAATTGTAATAGCAAGTGTTTCTATCTGTTTTGCTAAGTGCGGTAGGATGGCGAAAACTGTGGCGGCAGTTTTCACAGAAGCGGTGAAAACTGAGTTGAGATGGAGGGCAAGGTTGAGAGGATGGTCCTGTGCGCGACGCAGCCAGATGGAGACGATGGTAGAAAGCTCGTAGTCGCGTTTGGGGGCGTTTTTGCGAGAATAGACAGTGAGCTTCGACCATAAGGCGGGTCGCAAAAGACACCTTCGCCGCCATACCCGACAAACGCTGGCGAGGAGAAGGGGTCCCGGATCTCGAGAGATGATTTTTCCATCACGACGAGGCGGGCAGCCAATGTGTGGCGAGCTGGTCTTGATGTACAAGTCAAAAATATGATCAACGAGCTCGAATGGGAGAGGTTGAGAATTTGAAGTAGTAGAGGTGAGTGTTTCATGGTGAATTCTGAGCTTTTTTAGTGCCGTCTGCACGCTGTCCTCCATGAGTGGAGGGAAAGTCTAGGGAACGAGTACTTACTTATGTAATTTCGTTCGTCTGATTCTTAGACTCAGATTTCGTCCAATTCTTGATTTTGAGTCCATACTGAGTAGTCTTGACACAAATTTCCCAAATTCAGTAGTCCTCCTCCTTCTCTTCTGCCATGATGTCGAATGCTTCAAAAAAGTGTTTGCGTCGGGTGACCTCCTGACTTAGTCTTCCTTCTTCTGAACCACCACGCGACTTGCATTTTTCGCGGTCTGTTCGCTTTGTGACCTATCCCCACAACTCTCATAACTGGAACAAGCTTCCTTGTTCTCTCGCCAACCTTTATTAAGTATCACCATCAACGTACCCAATGCGCCACAAGACTTGCTCGATGCTGTCTCCCGAACCAAAACTTATCTCGCCACCGACAAGCTGCAGGTTTTTCCAGGTTTCCTCAGTCTTCGTTCGTGGAACTAATCCACTTGCAGCGTGCTGACCGTGGGGCGTCCAATGCTACATCTTTCAAAGTATCTCCTACACTCGCCAGTCTAACAATCACTCTACAAAATACGACAACCGTGTTGCCAATCGCCACTGAAGCTGTGAAGGACTGCAGCAGTCGCATCGAAGGCTACACGCTCGCTATTCCCAAGACTGGTGCTCCCGCGGTCCTCTCAGCGAACTCGACTTCAGGTCTATTCAGAGGGTGACCACGTTCGCGCAAGTGGAATGGGACGGTTTATTCCCACGTTGCTCCAGTTAACATCGTCAAGGATTCGCCGGCTTACGTGCGTTCTAGATCTATTTTCACCTCATCTTTCTGACATCTTCAAATAAAGCCTTATAGGGGATTCATGCTGGACACATCGCGCAATTTGCTAGGGTTTTCGCTTTGATTACTGCCTCATTTCTCAAAACTTGGGTTAGCTTCCCTGTTGCCGACATGAAGCGTACCTTGGATGCAATGAGCTGGGTTAAGGCAACATGTTTTGCAAGCACAACTCCCTTTCGTCCAAAAGGGGGGCTTACTCTGTCGCTCAAGTCTATTACAAGATATTGTTTCATATGCTGCAGCTGCAACAGCCTTGCTCATTTGCTCATGTGCGTTGCAGCGCGGTATTGCCGTTCTTATGGCTACATAGTTCCTACTTCCAAACAGCCAAGTAGAGCAGCTGCTTATTACCTGAACAAGAATGGACACTCCCGGACATACCGCTATTATTGCTGCTGCTTCACATCCAGAGCACATTGCATGTAGTCAGTTATCTCCCTGACATTCGCCAACGAATCTCCTGCTGGCCACCTTCGTCTCGCGACTCCCGCAACCGTCAACTTTACCACCAGGCTCATTACGGCTACTGCAAAGGTTCTACCCGGAAAGTACTTTAGTGCGGGTGGCGACGCCCTTTCAAGACATGGCAGCATGTGAGTTTCATCCCTTTTACCTATACCAACGCTCATCCTATCCAGGCATACACGTTCAACATCAGCAGTTCAGAATTCTCAAGCACATCTCGTCTTGGGCGGCCAACAACTGCTTTGGGCTAAGCAGTCGAACCCGAGTAACCTCGATTAAATCGTTTAGCCGCGCGCGGCCACTGGCATTTCGGCGGAGGTATTCTGAAGTGCGAAACAACCGAATGGGAAAGCCTTGATGGAACTGAAGCGCAAGCGAGTACGATGTGAGGTTTAGAATGGTGCAGTGGGGAGTGAAGGCTATTGCGCTGCGGCCGCAATGGTGCGCGCTGAGACCAGGATTGTGTAATCTCGACTTATAATCACTGAACGAAACAATGAAATCGGAAAACTTGAAGGATTTGCTGATTGAATGATAGGACTGTGGCACGTGAGCGTGACAGCTCGTGCCTTTGCCGGTCAACTTGACATCAGTTTTCCAGCTTGCCTCTTCCATTGCCCTCCTTCCGTCTTAGGACGTATCATACGAATGGACGTTTTTTATAACCTACTCGCCGAATCCGCTACTCCCGGCTTTGGAAAACAGGCCACCTCTTTGCTCGCTGAAGCAGAAACAACCCTCATCAGGATGGAAACGGAATTGAAGGCGCTATCGGCTGCTTGCGACTTCCAACGATCCAGAGTTGCGGCTCTGAAATATATTGTGGCCCCGATCCGAATTCTCCCCGAGGATTTGCTCATCGAAATATTCAAACGGGTGGTTAGCGGTTCTCAACAACGACTCGATTTCGGATTCGATATCAACATCAGGGGAATACCGGCTTGCCGTTTCAAGGAAGTCCTTTGCCTCTCTTCAGTGTGCAATTACTGGCGCCGAGTGCTTCTAGCCACACCGCATTTGTGGGTTATGCCCATGATTCTCAATGCCTCGAATGCCTCGTCGGCTTATGCGGAAACAACTGCGGTGATGCTCCAGCGGTCTTTCCCCCACCCGGTAGACATCTTACTGCACCTTCGGAAACCTCAACACGCGATGTCCAGAAAGCTCATCGCTGTGGTGGTTTCGTCCGCCCTCCGTTGGAGCAGCATCAAGGCCAACTTCGATATTATTCCATTCCTCCAGAATGCACCGAAAGGAACGCTCCCGCATTTGAGCCATGTCGAACTCGATTTGCAGAATGCTCCCGCAGTTCAAGGGAATCAATCATCCTCCTTATTCGTCGATGCACCGCAACTTTCTCTTGTATCGATAGATATCAACGGCATTTCGAGGCTTCAGCTTCCCTGGTCACAGCTGAGGCAACTCGAGCTGATAGACGAACACCACCCATTGCTCGTTCTCGAAGCCATTGCGCAATGCACTTCTGCCACTCGACTCAAACTCGGCTGCAATGCCTGGAGAGCCGACCATGCGACCTCATCAGGCAATGTTGTCTCTTTGCCCCATCTCCGAGAACTTGAGCTCGATATTGGGGGGGGCCTAACCATGACTCCCATCTTTGCTCTGTTCGCCTTTCCTTGCCTGAAATCACTTGAAATTAAAATGGACGGTATCAGCCCGCTTTCCCTGAGTACCGCCTTTCCGTCCTTCCTTCAGCGCTCCCCGAATCTCGAGAAACTCGAAATTTCGGACTGTGACCTGGACGCCGGCGAACTGAGCGCCATTCTGCTAAATATTCCATCACTCGTCAGCTTGGAACTTTACGGTTGCACCTCTTGTGTGGACAACAGCTTCTTCCAGCGTCTGACGTACCACGAGGCCGCACCCAATCCCGCCGCCCCATGCCTGCGACGCATCAACTTTGAATATGTTGGCGACGACTTCGACGAGCAGCCTATACTCGACATGATTCGCTCGCGCTGGTGGACAGACGAGGAACTTCAGGCTCGTGCTGTCCCTCCCAAGGTCGCAAGATGGGAAAGCATCACGATATGGGGAGACTTGGAAGACAATCGTGATTTTATGGAGGAGTTTCAGGACGAGATTGAAGAAATTAGCGCCGAGGGACTGGCATTGGACATACAATAACATTGTTGGCGGAGGTCTATCTAGTCACTCAATCACAGTGTGATTCAGCATAGACATTACTGCTACAAACATTGAGAGTAGTATGGGTTCAACTGGGTGCAGGTATATGGAGACACGCAAGAAGTCGCGCCTGTCCAGCCCTGGCCTCCACATTGGTCCCAATGATTCGCTTGTGAGCCGGTTGGTGGAGAGCTCGTCGTCGTTGTCGTGACGGTTGTAGAGCTCTTAACTGTCGTTGTCCCCGTTCCGCCGTTGCCACCAAGCAACCCAAAGAACTTGAAAACAGCATCACCTTGGAAGGGCGGAATGTGCCCCCCACCCGCAACCTCGAAACCAATCAACTTTGTTCCGTCACCGTACACAATGCGTTTCCAGGTCGACGTCGGGTCGTTGGTTATGTTCTGGCTGAAGCTGAGGCCAAGAACTGTGCTCCACTGTGCCAGCTGGGCGTTGAGATTGAGGATAGAGACAGCAGAGTCTTGGGTGCCGTGCGCAATAAGCATCGCCGGGCGGGGGCCAGAGTAATTCGGGTCTGCGTTCTTGGCAAGCGTGGCCCACTGAGCGGCAGAGAAAGTAGATGCTTTCTGGCCCAAAGGACAGGTCTGATCGGGAGTAAGGGGAGTACTGGATGTTGCATTGAGCCAGCAGCCGGCGGGGACACCCGACCACGAAGCAGCGCCCTTGAAGAGGTCTGGGTATGTCGCAGCCATAACGTTGGCCATCATAGCTCCGGAAGAGGCCCCGATGATGAACACTCCCTTCGACCCATCACTCTTGAATTGGGTCTTGGCCCACCCAACCATCGCGGCAAGACCTTGCGAGTCACCACCCCCGTTGTGAAGATTCGTTTGGGTTGACCAACAGTCCCAGCAGTTGAAGCCGAGCTCCGGATTGGAAGTCGGATAGAGGATAGGGAAACCGAGCTGGTCGGCGTAGGCAGGGATGTTGAATGAAGACATGAATTGCGAGCCACTTCCTCCACAAGCGTGGAGCTGCGAACAGAGTCAGCCCATTATTCTGGAAGATGGAGAGACGTACAGCGAGCACGATTGGCGGGTTGGAAACGATGTTGGTCGGAGTATAGACCAATAGAGCAGGCAAATGCGATGGATTGTCGCCCCAGTTACTGACCGTCATGGTCGTCCCTGCGCGAGCGCTCCATGCAAATAACGCTGCAGCAACGAACGATTTCAAGCTTAAGACGCGCATATCCAAGGCGAATAACTGGTGAGCTCGACCAGCGAACTCTTTATGCATTTGATTGGCGATGTTGACATCGTCCGCTGACCGGGTGCTTTGGCGAAAATAAGACGAAGTTCTTCCATCTATATGCACTGTAGCTACACTGGCCAAGACACCGTCGACTTCTGCCGATATTCAGCGCCAAACACAAGAAAGAAACGGTTTAAAACCCACCGAGGACGTTGTCTTCATATTTCCGCTCCACCAGTGTTTAGAAGCTCAGAATCCCACCTGCCCGAGTGCCACGGGTCGCATGCAATTGCCGATGTCGTCGCACTATACACGTGAACGAATTGTGCCGACGAAGTTGCGAAAATAGGTGACCGTTAGAGGCCAAGGGGAACTGACGAAATAGGCCTGAGCACGCGGTCATACAATACGACGATCTGAAGCTTCATTTGAGCTATATCTTCCATCAGCGCATTATGCATAAACTGATCCGTCCATCTTGGTCGAACAGTCAAAAGTTCGAGCTGGAAAGTTCAAGTTTGTGTGCCTCAGGTAGGACTTCGATGAACTACCTTAAGATAGGTGAATCATATCGGAAAAAACGAAAGTCGCGATGAGACTCACTTAGGACGAGACGTGAAATGAAATGAAGGACACGGGCGTCGGGACTCGGGAGTGGCATTCCGTCCTCTTCACAGTCGCAAGAAAGTCTCGTAGAAACGCGGTGGTAAGAATTGGTTCGATGGAGCATGGTCGCGGTTTGTCTCGTCGACAGTCCGTTTCTGGGCAGTCGTGAACTCCCTGTGAAAAGTACATACAAGTCATCTATAATATGAAAACACTACCGTGCCGGCATTGACAGAAAGTCACGTGTTGGTCATGCGTTTTGATCGATGGCACGTGAAATTCATGTGACCACCCCTCGGATACCGCCCGCCGGCTGCGAGCCGCAGGCGAGCGGCCGTGTGGGCGCTGCAAAATAATTAATTTTTGTCCATGCCAGAGGCACGGACGTTATACTTGTCTTATATATAAAAACAGCTCAGTGCCGGCATTGACAGAAAGTCATGCGGACGCACGTGAAACACGTGGATTTCACGTGCCACCCCTCGGATACCGCCCGCCGGCTGCGAGCCGCAGGCGAGCGGCCGTGTGGGCGCTGCAAAAGTTCTGTCCATGCCATAGGCACGGGTTATTACACTTGTGGAGGTTGGAGATGTCCAAGGGCCATCACTCAGCGGTCACGAGACCAACAACCCTTACATCTTCCGAATGACGAATCCAAGGACAAATTCGTCTTCAAGTTGACCCTATTCTCGATGCGCGCTGTCCTGGTGAAGAACGACGCAGGGCCTGCTGACAGCCTTTATATCGGACAAGTCGAGACACCTGTTGCTAATGCGAATGAAGTCCTCGTCAAAGTGTGTCAGTAGCCTTTTCCCTTTCCCCCAATCAACAAGGATTTCTAGGTGAAAGCGTTTGGGCTCAATCGGATGGACATCCATCAGCGAGAGGGCCACTACCCGCCCCCACCAGGTTCATCGACGGTGTTGGGTGTCGAGTTCTCCGGTCAAATCACTTCTGTTGGGACTCAGGTAACGCGTTGGAATGTCGGAGACGAAGTTCTGGGTCTCGCTGGCGGCGTAAGCACTCAAAAGTTTCGATCTCTTGCTCTGAAAACCCTTCAAGGGAGCTTATGCCGAGTATATTGTCGTCCCCCAAACACACATTGTTACCAAGCCTGCTCATTTGACATGGGCAGAGGCAGCCGCGATTCCGGAGAACTTTTTAACCGGTTCGCAGGGCTCTTTTTTACCGGAAATCGTCGTTGATTTGCTCCCAGCTTTTCAGGCGATCGTTCTCTGTGGCGAAATCAAAGCAGAGGACAACGTTCTTGTCCACGCTGGTGCATCAGGTGTGGGTATTGCTGCGATCCAGCTTGCGCGCTTCTACCAAGCGTAAGTTGCTCCCGAATCCCCTTTCCCCAGCACTATATATCCTATAGGAAAACTGTTACCGCCACAGCCTCGACTTCCGTCAAGCTCGACTTTCTCCGCTCCATATCCAACGGCGCAACGCATACGGCGAATTACAAGACCCAAGATTTCTCCCAGGTGGTGCTTGAGGAAACGACGGGAGGCAAAGGCGTTGATGTATTGGTGGATTTTGTGTACGGACTTCTCGGTCTGTTGACGGCTAACTAACTTTAAGCTTTCAGCGGGCAATCTCACTTTGAGAAAAACCTCAATTCGCTTGCAATGGATGGTCGAATGACACTTCTGGCGTTCTTGAGCGGACCTGTTGTACCCTCGGTCAACCTGGCCACCATCTTGCGAAAGCGACTGCGCATCCAAGGGTCAACTCTGCGCTCGCGTACGCCCACATATCAAAGCGAGTTGATAGCCAGATTCGAGCGCGAGATTCTCGAGCACATCACAGGCCAAGACGGTCCAGGCGAAATCAAGACGTATATCCACAAGGCCAGTGCATCAGTCGTTCCTAGCATTCCCCTGGCTGAATTTGTCGTTTAGATATTCCCGTGGAGTGAAATTCAGGCTGCGCATCGAGAAATGGAGGCTGACGCGAACATGTAACGTCCTTCCCATCTCCATCTGTACCGCGCGCTTACGGGCAACTCTCCAGCGGGAAGATTATTGCTGAGATTGACTAGCGTGTATCACGACTTTTGTCTTGTGTACGCCGAGGCCAACGGGAGACTTCTTGAACGCGTTGCCAACGAGATTGCCCTGCCACGGGAACCCACGATGATGATTCGCCCAGCGGGTGCGGGCGGGTGGGATGCATTCCTCATCACACAAACCACGGCCCTGCATCTCTCCCATCGTTCGATGACTGACCGTCAAACCCCGAGCCGCTGTTTAATGATCGACGCTCAGAGTAGTTTGAACACCGCTGACCTTGCATTCGGAATTCGGCGGGGGTAAAGAAGGTTTGTGCATCGAATTTAAAACGTTTGTGGTTATCCTGAAAGAGAGCGCCGCGGATTATATGGCGCAACAACTTGAACCCATCATGCTCCACTGCCATGCTGCTTTAGCGCTAACCTAGCTGCAGAATGGCTCGCAATCCAAAGTTCCCCTCGACACAATTTTCCGTTCGTGGAGGGTTACCGGGGTTCCAGCGTGATCCCGGCCGGCCTGTCTTCACAGACCTGAGTCCGCGCACGTATCGATTGGCTGCCTGATCGCCGCAGTCATTCTTCTCCGCCTACTGTCTGTCCGAGGCAGTTAACATGACCACATGACCCGGGCCAGCAGGCCCGCTCGACGCTATCGCTATCTAGCCCCCGCCATCGCCGTGGTTAATGCCAAACTGAACAAGGCTGGAGGGCCTCGAGGTTCCGTTGTTCACGCATATCCACGGTTCATCTTCCGTGAGTGCATCCCGAGTTTCTCGTTGGTAGCTGACAAACCTTTTTTGGGACGCGGTCTGTGGATGCGCCATATCGTGGGTACTGGGGTGCTTTTTTTCACGCCCGAGTAGTCATAGACAGTGGAAGAAGTAACTCCGAGTCAGCCCGTCGGTTTCCTGACTTTGACTCGCGGTTGGAGGGATTCATTGGCGTCGTATGACAGCAACCAAGCCTCCCGTCCATCGAGGGGAAAGTTCATGGATTCTAGATTAGACCAAGCTACCGCTATGAGGGCGAACTAAATGATGGATGCTTCCTCGTCGGTCCACGCCAATCCTGACGACGGCCAATCCTAAAAATGCATCTGACAGGCTTTTCATTATGGTGTCTATCGTGTGCCATCCCGCTATGATTATATGTTGAATGACAGACACTCGGGGAATTCGATTGCGGTGACTAGCGGGGGTACGGAGGTCCAGGGACAAGCCTGCTAATTCCCCAGCTAGCTTCTATCCGCCCGTTTACCGAGGTTTGCTCCAGTAGAATTCTCCCAAGTCTTGTTCTATTATCTAGGCGAATGCAGTGCTCGCCTTTCCAGCCTCAAGGCTCCGATTTTATGGAGCCAAAATAACCCCAAGAAAACGGGAGAATTTCTTGCCGTAGAACGACAACGGAAGCTTCAAGCCAGTGCATATGTATTATCTGCAAACGTTTCCGTTTAAGTTGGGGTTAATAATCTATTTCCCGACGGGGAGCCCAGAGTCTCTTTGCAACGTTCACAAGCGTTCAAGTCCGATTTTAAAAGATCGTAGCTGCCCTGAAAACCGACTAGAAAAAAGGCTTCGCACAGGCGCTACGCCCGTGGGGCTGTCCGTTTGCTGTGCAGTCAACGGCCGATACTTCCATGTCGTTGTTCTTGAAACAAAATGATTTGTGAGGGCAGATCAGATGCTGTCAACCCGCCGTCCTTGGTTTCCCTCCCGAATACGAAACGTGGCTGGCTAACAACTGTGAGATGTTTATGACGAGTCATGCCTTTAGGCATTACAGCAGCGTGCCGTGACAAGACCATCCTATATCGAGTCACCAAATTTGGCCGTGGCCTTCCGAGATGTATAAAGAGCGGACCCGCGTCGGGTGGCAGAGCATCGAGCTCTACCCCCTCCTCTCCATCAACCAACCCACATTCTCTCCCCAAACACCCACTTTTTTGCTGATTATGCCTGCTCCATCTACCAACGGCAAACCATCCTCGTCCAGCCAGGGCTCACAGGGAGTCAAGGGGGGAGCTTCGGCTATTGGCGCGACGTTCTTCTAAACGTCTATGGCGACAACAACTTGAAATTGTGCCTAGCCTACTCCAGCGCGTTGTCGCTTCGACCACGCTAATCACCATTAACACCATAATACACGGACGACGAGAGGCACTCACTATTTGCCCGTCTCCTAATACACCTTCGACAACCACTCTTCTTCTCTGCCTCTGGGCATCGAGCACGCGAGTCAATCGCCAATCTCGATCGCAGGCACGGACAGCACAGCTTTGGCAGCAAATCCTTGTCCTAATTTGTAAATTAATCTTTCTTGTCATCGCAGATCAACGGAAGCGAATATGGACGTACCCATGCTACTATGCCCACCAGCCCTACTGTATCATCGCTATATCCTCCCCTCATTGTCTTGTAAAGGCACAAAGTACCTACCTATCTATTGTAGAATTAGTTAGTTTACTTCTTGCTTGTCAAATAGCACTATTACCTGCATGTCATTATCAGTTAGGAATGTCGGCATAGTGCCAATTAAACTGAGGTTGCCAACAACCGTAACGAATGTCTGCCATGGTTAGATAAAGGGAAAAGAGTTCAAGAAAGCTGAGTGGGACTTACTTGGCCAAGTCCGGCGGAATAGCACACACTCCAACCTTTCACGCTGCTGGCCACAAAAGGGCATTCTCCGAGCTAGGAAGCACTGTCACCGGGAAATCGTGGATCTAAGAAGCGCGCAGTCAATAGTGGAAAGCGGTGCGATTGACGCCGAGCGCGAACAAAACCCCGCTCGAGACGGGCTCGTATTCATTCAATATGTAGGTTATTCTATGAAACGCCACTAGAGAGCCTTGAGATGCAATGAAGCAACGAGCAACGTGGCAACGCACTAACTCTAGAGTTTATTTTTCAATCCGGTCATCCAAAGTCCCGAAGTTGTGATATCTCCGCGTGCCTGCAAATCCCACCACTCAAGAATGTAGCCAACGATTTCGTCCTGACGCCCAGTAAAGTTGTGGTCAGCGTTTTCCAGCATGTGTAGCGTGTGGGTTCCCGGTGACCGTGCGCCGAGAGCACGCGCGTAAATCAAAGCATCAAAGCTGAAACAGTCGATGGTTAGAATCTTTTCGGATGAGAAGGACAGCCACACACGGAGGAACGGTCTCATCCGATAGTCCGTGAATCGTCAGAACGTGAATTCGGGCGGGGAACTGATCCCAGATGTAAGAGGTGTCCCATTTGACGAACTCCTCCAAGTCCCTCGGTCGAATTCGGGTGGTAAAGGGTTTCCGGGCTACTGTGGCGGTCCAGTCATAATAGCCATCCTTCTCAAATCCTGGCTGCCAATGCTTAATGACGTTGACATTCTCTATTGTTATTGAGCGTGGCGATTCGGTGATAGGGAGAGCAACCCACCTAACAGCTTTGCCTATCGATGGTCAGTTCTCTGTGCCTTGGTCCCATATAAAGACGGACCATTCTGTATCTTGCTGAAGCATTCACAAAAGTGGTGACGTTGCGCGCTTCAGGCGCCGTACATATCCAACGCTGACCAACAATTGAACCCCTTGAATGTCCAACGACGGCAGTGATGATGTAGCCCTTGGATTCAAGGAACCTCCCCACAGCGAAAAGGTCATCAACGTCACTTTGGAATGACCCATAATGCCAGTCGCCAGGTGTTTCGTGGTTCCCTCTGTTCCCACATCATCATTATGAACAACTGCGGAGGAGAAGACCACGAACCGAAAATCGAATCTGAAGGAATCAAGCGGTAAACGCTGAGCGAGGCGCCGTTGGAACAGATAGTCTTTGTGTCTAAAGCATGTAAGAAGAATGAGATAGGCAGTGTAGTCAGGCCATACCCCATCGCGCCGTGAAGAATCTATTGAACCAAATTAGGACCAACAGGAGACAGGAGAGCAGGATATAAACCAAAGCTATTGGTCGACCTTGGGCTGCATCACCATCATCAAGCTGCTCAAGGATACCGGTAATCGGGCATGCAGGGGATAGAGGGTGGGGGACGTGTATTTTAGTTGAAGTGCGAGAGGTCATCGAGGAACGAAGGAATGGTTGAAGACACACATCGCGGTAACCGACTGTGCCGAATTCCGTTGTCACGTCCCGTCACATACGATGGGTTGATAAGTAATGGCACAACGATAAGCCTCATGAAGCCGGCTTCAAAGCAAGCACGAAAAGTTGCCATCTATGCCTGAACTCTCATCCATGCTCAATGTTGCAGAATTTTGTCCGTTCAAATTCATATGCATCTCAGCAAAGATAGACTCATAACACAAATTGGAAAGGTTGTGCCAGTCACGACGGCCCAGGTATTAGCGGTGACGAGCCATGAGTCGTCTATGCAACTGTAGTGCCCAGATCCGGGACGAACTTGACCGAGGAAGTGATCAGGGACCTTCAGGGACACTGAGAAGTTTTCGGCGAGAGCCTGTCCGGATGGCGTCTGGTTCAAGTTTGGGTTAATCTTAGGTGCAGGGGAGGCTCTTCTCAGCGAAATCTAACTGATATGCCTTGCAGTAAGCTGTCCTGCGAGTGTCCGACGTGTCTCCCAATATTAATGCACATGAACCACTGGCAAGAATGATTGGTCACCTGATGGAAGGTGACTGTGGTTCTCGTTTGAGTAGATTACAGTTTCTGAAAAAGAAAAAACCCCGTTGCGACAAGCTCAACCCGTGCGATGGACGTTCCAGTGATCTTGAAGATAGCGCCACTAGTGCTGGTCAGCGACGATGTGACTCACAAGTTGGAAAGTCAATTCAAGTCCGAGCTGGAGGAGAACTTGAGCCCACTTGCTTCAAATGATTTGAAATAATCATGAACGTGAGGAGGGTGGATTATCATTGGCACCACTGGCAATCGCTTTTGAGGATTCAAGTTCTCGTCTTGCCACTCACTCAGAGAAGTATGAGTGGTTGTGTAACTTGTGTCAACAGAATTATAGGTCAGAGGATCCAATTTTTATAACAGAGTGGAAGCGAGATTCAGAGAGTATGTTTGAATCGTCGATGGTATGGAGGTTGGTTGAAGAGGCAAACGCGACATATGGTTGAGGGCAAGTTAAGTAGGTCATGTCACGTGTCAATGTCCAGCTTGCTCTGCACTTCCATACACATATCGTCTCCCAATCAACCAAGTCTTGCATGTTACATTTAGCTCTTTGGGCCGCTTTACAACGACGTGGGGCGAAGAATACGCTTCAAGCTTCCCATTTGACTGGATGAACGACCACCGGCACCGACTGGGACGCGTTTCATTTGACTTGAGCGTTCAGAATCACCAGTGGAATGATTGCCAGCAGTCTGGCGTCTCCGACTCGGCGCGGATATTCCCAAAACCCTTGCCAGTGATCCCTTCCTCTCACCCGGTTTCGCTTTCTTCGCTTTTCGACGCGCTCTGCCTGAGAGTCAGTCCCCAAGCCGCTTTGCTCGGAGGGAAAGGACACTCACACCAACTCACGCACAACATCCATACCTTCTCCGCCAGTCTCTGAACGATCTGCTTCTACGTCGGACTCCGCAACTGTCTGGTACCGCCGACGTTTCAGTGGAGGAGTCCAAATCGAAACCTTGGCCGGACCAGCGCTTGGCGCCATATCAATGGTACTATAGAACGGCTTCTCCCCCTTCGCAGTCCATCTAAAACCATCTGGAAGGTCCCTGAAAACAAGTTTAGCATAAGGGAATTGAAAACTGTCCACATACTCTTCTTCTATTTCCTGGATCGCAGGCACCTCGTCTTGGGGAATCTCGTCTCTCGTCCGGATACCAATTTTTTCTTTGAGATTCTCCGCGAATTCACGTCCCGATACTCTGGCTACACCGTCCCAGAAGTCCTCCCAACATTCCTTCTCAGCTGCAAGCTCAGCCTTTGTGCCTTCGAAAGCATACAATGCATTCTTCATCGCCGACTCTGCCTCTTTTACAGCGCGTTGTGCGCGTAAAGTTTCTGCTTGGAGGGCCGTGAACATTCTTCCTATATCGCCTTGGTCGAAACTCGTCAAGTCCAGTGGCGGGAAGTCGCGGAGTCGCTGTGGCCGGCTCTCTTCACCGTCCGAATAATCGTCTTCGGGTGCTTGCAGGGATTCCATCAGAAATACGGGGTGGACTTGCTGGTGGTCGTATTCGGTTGGCATCCGATAGCGAAACTGGAGCTCGCGATCCTCCTCTTCATCTGTCCACTGTTCGCCACTCTTGTCCTTTCGCACCACCCACCGCGCAGCATGCTCAGGCAACACCGGGACCACCCCCTCCCTGTCTACCTCTGTCCCCTGCTCCCTCGCCTTCCCTTTCGCAGCAACAACCATCCGCCCAGCAAGCAATACAACCTCGCGCTCTGTCCTCTCCATGTTGCTAGCTTTAGCTGGGCTTGGGGGCAAGTATTTGTTCACGTAGTCGGTAAAATATGGCTCTGGGACGCGTTGCAAGTTTGCAAAACCAAGAAATTCGACGGGCGTGGTGGTCGTAGTCAGGCCTTCTTTGTTGTTACTTTGTGCAAAGTTGCTATGAGTGGCGTGGGTAGTTGTCACTTTCCTGGGCATTCTGGATTCGCGCTCGGTGAAAAAGTCTTCTTCAGTTCTGTTCTTCCTAAATACCCTACCTGTCATGACGCTTAGGCCTACGGTTTATGTTATGTTCTTGTTCTCGCTTTGACCATGTCAGTATCACGATGCGCTTCGGCCCAAGACAGAACAGTGACTTCTCTCCATGGTTGGGTGATTTGGCCTATGTATTGCGATCTTTTCCCTGGCCTATGCCTCGCCTGCGTTCGCTCCAACACCTGTCACCGTCTGTGTGCGACATGATGATTCGGGAACTAAGGAGAGGTTCAAGTTGTAAGCAATTTCTGACTGCACTTGAACAGGCGCGTGCCTCACTGTACCTTCTGCATCATCGGCTGGGGCCTTGGGAAGATACCCCTTCTCAGTTCATGCATCTGACCCGCCGCCATTATTTACATCGGGTGGGGAACATCGACAAGCCCTCATTCTTTGGTTGCTATGGAGTCACGGATTTCGGGGTGTTCATTCGGATGATTCGGTGGTTCCGAACGAAAGAAGAATGTGTCGAAGATGTGGTGAGGCCCAGGAAACTCCACAGCATGTTTTTCTGGTATGTGCAGATCCAGCGACAGTGGTGCCATGACGCGACTGGAGCTGTGGGACGCGGCGCTTTGAGAGAAAATTACTCGTACAATCTACCTGCGAGTTTAGCAGGGTTCCTAGATGACTAGGGGTCGGCCACAGCCGTCCCGGACCTTGCTTTGAAATCTCGCTTTAGTTCCCGCCGAGTTCTTTTCAACCTTTGTATTCTTCTACATAATAAGTAAAATAACAGGCCCATGGACTACGCTTTTTTGTGGCAAACCAAAGTGTGCGCCAAAGGGTGTCGAGTTTCCAGAGCCTGCTCGATAGCATCCTCGCTATACAGCAAGTCTACAGTGAGAAGCGATAATGTTGAGCTAGCGAATCTCTGCATCGGCATCGAGTGTATACGAAATCAGTGGGACTGGGACTGGCCCAATCCCACTGTTCGTGCCCAGTCCCACTGATTCACGTCCCATCAGTGGGATTCGTGCCGTCAAACGTGACGCATTCACGAGTCCCACTGATCAGCGGACCTGTCGCGGACAAGCGGGTTGCGGCGCCGGCCGCGGCGGCCGGGGTTTTCCACCCCGGACCCCGACCAGGGCCTTGCCCTGGACCCACCCTGCCGGGGGCTTCGCTCGCCGCGGGGCCCGCTGCGCGGAGCATTATCTCCCCTTCTTGGCTTTTTCCGACATCCCCGGGCTCAAACTTCCCTTTCTGTACTGGGTTGCGGCGCCGGCCGCGACGGCCGGGGTTTTCCACCCCGGACCCCGACCAGGGCTTCGCCCCGGACCCCACGCTGCCGCGGGCTGCCGCTCGCCGCGGAGGCCTGCTGCGCAGCGCTTGGCTTGATCTCCGTCGTCACGCGATGTCAAGCGCAAGGGCATCAATCCCACTGATCAGACTCGCTTAGTGCCTGATCAGTGGGACTGGGACTGATCAGTGGGAGTGATGCGGACTGGACGAGTCCCACTCCCACTGATTTCGTTATCCCTCATCGGCATCTCATCGACAAAGGCTAGTTTATATGATCCCAAGGGGTAGGATCCAAACTCGGAGGTGAAGAAGCTCATGGCCGAGCGTAGAGTAGATGTTGACGTTGTCATGGGCAATTCGTGGCCAGGAAGGCAGAAGGCATACATCGGACGTTACGCGAAGTTGCCTTCCTCGACGGAATCGTCCGAGGGAATCGAGAGCAGACGGAGACAGACAATTATATACCCTAATAGCATTTTTTTTGGCGGACAAATGATATGAGGCAGAATATCCATCGACTAGTGGGTGGATAACCATATTGGCAATTGCAAAAGTCTCACACACACATCTGAAGGCGTAAACCTATGTGCATAGGAGGAAAAGAGGACATGAAAATCACGGGAGTGGCGCGTTCACCAAGACTGGCCGGCCGCGAGCCCCAACAACCCTTCCCACTTTCGACAATGAACCAGACCCGCCCGAGTCGGACGACGAGCAAGAACACAAGTAGCGCTCAGCGCTGGCCAAGCCAAACCAGCCCCAAAAACACCTTATTTATTCTCTTATGCTTATGATCCATGCCCATATTCTATGGCCCGACGACATCAGCGCAACCGGACTGCACAGCTGCGTACAGCCCATCCGCCATCTCACCTTCTTCGCCATCTGCTACACCATAACCCGCTCTGATCCCAAACCCGGCACACACCACCACCGAGCGGCCAGACGGAACCGGCGTCCCGGCCACCGCGTCTTAGTAGTTAGTGTACTTGTTGCGGTATATAAATGCAGAAACAAAAAAAAAAAAAAAAAAATGAAAATCACGGTTACGAGCGGATCATCGATCAAGACCGACATCAGAGGCTGTGCGTAGTTTCGCCGAGCTTTCTACGGAGGTTTGGGCTTTTTGGCCTTCGGGTTAGTTTGTTGCTGTTTGCAATCAGCTTGATCAAACTATCATCATGATTGGCAAGTATAGACGGGCCAGGGACCTTGCAAAGCAAGGTGACACATACTGAGGAGACTGATTTACAATTGGGACCGAGTAATTTCGACTACGCGATTTGTTTTCAAGATGGCGAAGGATTGGAGATGGTTTGGTGCAAGTTTGGTGTGACAACAACTTGAACAATTTATTAGGTGGAAGATGATGTATTATTCTTCAGGTTAGTGTTTACTTGTGTGGTAGAGGTTTATCTGTAGACGGGAGACAGGTCGCCTACAATTAGGTGCTAGGTCCGGTAGCTCTCGGATGGAGGCATGTACCATATTACAAACAAACAAACAAACACCAACCTTTCCAGAAATGCAGATAATTATTGTTCATGGAGTCAACGTTAAAGCTAATCGGCAGAACTACCATACCAATAACCAGCGAGGAAGGAATCGAGTCGTCAATCGTAGGCATCATACATATACTTAGAAAGAAAGGGAGAGTGAGGGTTCTTGGGGGTGGAGAAAGATATATCGAGAATAGATAAAGAGGAAGACGCAATGGGAGAAAAAGAGTGGTGGTAGTTTTTAAGCGAGAGGGTATCCGTGGCCGTCCTCGTTCAAAAGACAGCGACTAACTCGACTTGTCTCGAAGTTTCAAACGGTGGTCATCGGCGGTCCCCCTTCGATTCCCATCTTCTTGCGCACAATCTCGAATGTCTTGAGCATCTTTCTTCTAGCCCCAAGCGCCGCAACACCCTTTGCCTCCAATGCCGGCTCGTCCATGATGACCATATCCTGCCAACGCATCCCTTCAAAGTTGGGCGTATACTTGTGCAAACGCAGGCTGCGAAGCCACGCAGGCACGTCATTGAGCAATGCTGGATCCACATCGTCTTCACCTTTGGGAGTGTTGATTCCCATCCCGCTCGTGTTGCTTGTCGCACTTCTGGGAGTACGAGCGCTGTTTGGTGGACGCATCATCCGTCCTCCCATGCCAGCAGAATGTGGTCCAGCAAGCCACGGAGCTCCCGCGATTCCTCCCATACCTCCCATTCCAAACGCGCCACCAGCAGCCGCAATCTGAGCCTGAGCCATCTGAGCCGCAAGCAGCTGAGTTTCAGGCGAGATCCCCATTGCCAACATATTCATGTTGACCCCAAATGGATTCATGCCTCCCATTGCGCCGGCGCTGTTCATGCCGCCCATCCCGAAACCGCCCATACCGTTCATGCCCATATTAGGGGTGTTTCCGCGTCCGTTATTACTTCCTCTTCCATCATCGCTGCTCCCAAACCGGTTTGAAGCAGGGCTGGTTGCTCCTTGCCAGCCGGGACGACCCATGTTTCCACGGGGAACGAAATTGCCGTTGTCGTCATACATATCGTCTTGCTGTTGAGGAGGACGAGCGCCACGACGGTGAATAGTCGGATCACCCATGCGAGGAACACCAGGGGCCGCAGCAGCAGCACTTGGAGACTAAAACATGATCATTGTCATTAAGAATAATCTCAGCAAGGAGGACAAACCTTCCACTCAGCAACCTTGGGGGCCTCCTTTGGCTCCGTTTTCGCGAACATTTGCATGGCAGGGGTTGTAACCATGCTGGCCCAACTCTCACTTGACGCGTGGGCCGGCACAGTAGCCTCTTGGACTGGGGCCGGACGATTGATAAACTCCGCACTCTTTGGACGTGATCCTTTGTCTTCAGCGCCAGGGGTAGTTGGCGAAGGAGCGCGATTGCTCTCTGCGACTTGACTCAGTCCACTCGCTCCCCAAGTGTTGCGGTCACCAGTGGATGACATGATTGGCGCCGAGATGCGATGAGCGACATTCGAGGCCTTCAATTTAGCACGCTGCTGTGCCAACGTCGAAGCGGCATCGACACTTTGACCGAGCGAGGCCGAATCGGGCGATAGATAATTGTTAGGCGTCTCGATGAGTGACTGGCGGTTGCCCGGAGTAGCTTGATTGAAATTGCGTGCAGTCGGTGAAGCGGGGAGACCAGACTTAAGGCCAGGAGACTTGAGACTAGCGAGTTTAGCCTCCATCTGCTGCTGCATAGAGCCTGATATGACGCTGAGTCCGGAACTGGCTGGACAAATTATTAACATACCGCCAACAGCAGGACTAAGAAGCGCTGTCATAGGGTCCGACCGAGCCATTTGCTGGAGGACGGTAATGAAAAAAACGAATCTGAACTTGTGTCGAATGTTGGAGAAGACTGTAAAGAGCGGCTGTGCGCTCTGCTTCTGAAAGAACTTTGAACCCTACAGTTAATTGATAAGCGCTATAAATGAGAGCAATCAAGAATACGGACATTGCTCGATGGCACTGAGCTCCTCTTTGAAGTTGACGTCGAGCGAGGCTGCCGCCATGTCTTCGAGGGTTGCTTCGTAATTTTGGAGGTTCTCAAACCATTGGTCGAGGGCCTCAGCTGTCGTTCATTAAGAAATTGATGTCGTACAAGAGGGACAATCAACTCGCCTTCAGGAGTTTGATATAATCCCGCAGAGCCCACAAGCTCGCTAGTGGGTCTCGTTCCGCCGCCAGCCAAACGAGGAGAGCCAGGGGCAAGGGCTGGAGCACCACGTGTCGCTGGGCCTGGGCCAAGCGACTGGCGAGACGACAGCTTATTGTGGCCATTCTCTGGAGCGGGGGAGGGGGAGGGGCTGGTAGAAGGTGGTCGCAGACTCATGATGTAATGAGAATACGGGGGGCAGTGGTTGATGCAATAAGATTTGGGTTGGGGTGATCAACGACGACAAAAATGGCGCGCTAGCTGTCTTTTTGGCCTGCGGTGTGGGCGTAGGTGTGCTTTGGAATGTGAAGACGACGTCGAGTCTGGGTTATGGACCGACTAGGGCCCGGCTAGAAACAACAAGGACCGACGATGGCTGGTATCGTCGATTGGAGGAGTTTCTAGACAAGACCAGCGGAGCCTGCCGGTCTAGTTGAAGAAACGAGTCCGGGCTGCGAGCAGGACGAGCAACAATGACGACCTCTGCTGGGATGAGGAGGCAAGCAAAGACGATTCCAGTCACGCAGTCACACGCAGTCACATCCGTTTCATGTCAGTTGATGATCTCGGGCGGGTCAGCTACTGAGCCAGTCGGATTTCTCTGAATACGGTAAGATCTCATGGTTTCAATCTATTTGTACAGCTGGTGGTACGCGCGAAGGGAATAAATAGACTAGAGGTGGCCGAAAAATGTCCATCAAATCAGTAGGCTGGTAAAGGCTCGTCAAGCTCAGCATATTCAGAATGTCGATCCACATTCTCATAGCCCTGCCTGATGGCCCTTGCCGCCCTACTCTCTGCCTCCTTTGCACGAGCGGCAGGGGACAATGATGCCGTTGTAGGATCTGGTAATGGCCGCCTCGTTGAAGACGATGGTTGTGGTGAAGCTGTTGGTTCTCGTGCTCTGTCCAATGCTTCATATCCCAGACGAATTTCTCTAGCAGCCCGTGACTCAACTGGCCGTGAAGGAGTTGACGGCGGTGGTGGCTCAAGGAAAGTGTGCGAAGAAGTGGCGGGAGATCGTGGCGGTCGTTGTGGAGTTGGGCTGGCCCTTGGACTGTGTCTCGGCGAACGGAATGGATTGGAGGATAACGATGCGGCATCTTGCTCGAAATCGACAAAAGACTCGTTGGATGATATCAACGAGTTGCGTGAGTATAAAGAAGCGGCGGATGCCGGGGGAAGGAACGTTGAAGCAGCTATCGATGGGGCGGGTGAGTAGACACCACGCCAGGCTTTTGAAGCAGAGGTTTGGGGTGTTACTGGAGGCCCCCATGGTGAAGCAGTCGCGGCAGTGTGTGGCATTAACATTTCTTGAACACCACTAGGAGAAGGCGACCGAGAATAAGAGCTACTTGGTCGCTCGGGTTCCGCGATTATTGTGGGGGTAAATGGTGAACGAGAGTCAGAGAACTCCCAACTGCCGTCTGCTTTTCGCATTGCAGTCCGCATATTGGTTCCAGGAGTGTGAACTGCGCAAAAAAACATTAGCACTTATGCTCTATGGGTACAACAACAACTCACCAAATCTCGGATTGCCTTTCCCGTCAGCAGAAGTAATCATGAGGGCCGCAGGGTGTGTCCGCGCAACGATCTCTCCTGCCTGCACTTCTGGTCCCTTCTGCTTCTTGTTTTGTCGACGTCGAAAGATGATAAACATGATGAGGGCCAACAAACAAACACCGCAAATAGCTGCGATGACGATCTGAATGAGAGTCGTTGAAGAAGAAGGGGCAGTGGTCGATGAAGGCGAAGGAGAACTGGGCGATGGTGAAATAGAAATGCTAGGCATCACGGACGGGCTTCGAGTATATAACCTGCCAAAACCCTATAATGAGCTCTAACGCTTCGGTGATTCAAGTGGAGCAGTGCACACCGCAAGCGAGAGTATGACCGAGGATTGATGTTGCGAAATCGGTGTTCCAGGTTGTGTATCACGTTGAAGCGGAGTGTGTCAGCGAGAGAGAGGCGAAGAGCAAAACCGTGCAAGAATGAGGAAAAGAGCGTGGTGGAAGGACGAAAACAAGAGCCGTCGAAACAGGTAGGCAGCCCCTCAGACTTGACGGACCGAATGTCGAGCTCAAGGTCAACAATAAGCGACCGCAAGTATGTAGGCCATGATTCGCTGATAGATCTGCCACTTCATGGCCCTTCGCACAAGTGCCCGTCAACGGTCAACGCCAGACGATACAGATGGTTTGCGCTCTGCTAAAACAAGTCCAGGTTGATTGCTAACAGTGAACACGATGTAGGCGCCACCGAGCAGCCCGTTATCTGCTTGAAAAAGGCGGAAGACTTGACGTTTTAGTCGCATCTCCGAAAGCCTGAAACGAGGCTTGTTTGGGGGAGAATATGGCCGCCATATGCAGTGCTGTGATTAGCGTGACCTGAATCAATTCTTTGGTGTGGCCAACAAATTCTCCCCTTCTGTGAGATCTCTTCCTGTCATTGGCTGTGTTGAAGGACACCTCCATGCTGACAGAGACTGACTTTTAGATTATACTATCTCTTCAAATCACATACGCTGCCTTCTCCCTCAACACCCTCCTCAACAGCTTCCCAGCTGCATTTCTCGGAATGGCGTCAATAAACTCCACCCCTCCACCAAGGCCCTTATATTTCGCCTTGTGGTCCGCGATGTCCTTGATTAACGCTTCCTTGATCTTTTCCTTTTCCCCTTCCGCATCAGCACTCGCTCCGACCCGTTCCAACGCACTTGCGCTAAGCACGACATACGCCTTGGGCAGCTGCCCATTGAACTCGTCAGGGACAGGCACAACGCAGCAGTCCGCAACGTCAGCGCTAGCCGCGAGTCTCGCTTCCAGCTCGGCTGGCGCAACTTGAAAAGCGCGGACCTTGATGAAATCCTGCCACGAGTAAGACGACTCCACAAGGCCCCGGTAAACAGCAGCATGCCTTGATTCTGTCCACAACATGCACCTCTCCTTTCTCGTCAATGTACACTTGATCCCCTGTCCGAACCCATCTACAACCAATCAACACCACGCGTCAACAGTCGCATCCACTCACCCGTCCACAAACGTCTCCGTTGAGCTGCAACGACGTCAGTGTTTGAGATTATCAAGCAACATACACACATCTTCTCGTTGTTCACGTAGTGAGTCGCAATCGACGGTCCCCGTATATAAAGCTCTCCCGGTTCGCCCGGCGCTGCCAATGCCGTCTTCACATCTCCGTCTGCCCCTGTCTCCGTCTTCATGACTCGCGCGGAATTGCCTGGAAGTAGACAACCGCCGCTGCCAGTCGACACCTGTCGGTCAAGCGGCGGCATCGCAACGATGCCCGAGACCTCCGTCATGCCTGACGGTAATTGAGATTAAATAAGTATGCTGAAAACATCGATACCCAAACTCTGCTCGATTACCGCATTGGGCATGAGCTTCGCCATCTCTTGCACAAAATGGAGGTTGACTGGTGCGCCACCAGCGTAGATGACGCGAATGGATCTAAGATCCTCGGCGACAACAGCAGGGTGTTTGCTGAATAGCACCATGATTGGTGGGACCAAGCTACGACAAGTGTAGATGAGAAATCACACTAAAACAAAGACATACGAGAGCTGGTTGACCTGGTAGGTCTTGATTGCTGCGAGAAAGTCGCGGAAATCGAACTTGGGTAGGATGACGGCGGTCATCTGTGGAGAAATAAGGCATTGCCCAAGGAAGGGAGAGATAGAATCACTCCGCAAAACAAGTGGTATTGCAGCTGAAGACAGTTAGCCTGACTGTAGAATAAACCCAAAGACCGACGTTGATCAGGAGACCGAAAATATCTGGGCTGCATGAACAAAACAGCTCAAAGCATATTGAGAAACCCACGGAAGAAAGGCAAAGCCGCAAGCGAAACATCGCCGGGCCTAAATCGTCTCTCTTCGACAGGAATAGGCTCTGTCCCCAAACCCATATCCCAAGCAGCATTTTGGAGTACGTTTGCGATGATAGCTGCGTGTGGCAGCGCAGCCATCTTCGGCACTCCCGTAGTCCCACTCGAAGGGAAGCATAGTGCTGTTTTAGTTTTCCCCTCCCCAGGCGCAAGCTTGTACTCCTTAAACTTGTGTGTCTCTTTACTAGAAAAACCAAGTTCGACGAGTTCAGTCACCAACGCGTGCTCGCCAATCTTGTCAGTTGTTGCCAAAAGAATTATGCGATCCGTGGAGAGGCCAACGGAAGCGGCAGCAGCGGTTGCCGCTGGTAGAGCCATGGGGTGGACGAATAAGAGAGCCGGCTTCATATCCCGGATAGATGGCAAGATTTCCTCCGCGTTGAATGTCGGATTCAAGGTGCTGAAGCTCGTTCATTACTAGTTCTCAGGATAGCAAACGAACAGACAATACAGAGCTCCCCAGCCTGTGGGCAGCCCAAACCGATATTGCAAAGTCTGGAGACGCGTCAGAACTCGCCTAATTCTCAGAGAGGAGGAACTGACCGACGTGATTACTGCTCAGAATGCCGACTATGGGAGGAATGGGCACTGTAAATATTCGGAGAAAGGTTCCACAAACCAGAATCCTGAGGGCCTTTCAACCCCATTCGTTATAAGTAAGTTCCCTGAGGGGGAGAGATACCGCACCTAGCGAGTAGCGCAAACTCAACCCGTTGGCAAGATTCCATGTCCTCTCAGACAACTGCCTGAGATGAGCCTCTCGCACATAGAGTCGCGAACAACTCACTTCATCCTTCCCATACGTCTTCCCGGTGGCAGCATCAATAATCCAGGGCGTGGCGGCTTTCCTCGTCATTCTAATCGGATGCTCGTAATCGAATAAGAATTGGGGAACGGTAACATCGTCGGGGATGTGGGGCGCAGGCATGAGGGACGTGAATTCGGCCATAGTGGTCAGGGGAAGAGCTATCGCAGCACCCTCACCAATTATCAGCTCGTGGTCGCGTAAAATCGATGAATCAGAACACTCCGCATCTTCGAAGCTCTTCCGATTTTGTTGTTTCGCAAAAACGAGGCGGATCCTGATCTACGCGGGAAGGGCTCGTGGTTTTCAGTCGTTCTGCAGAAACAAACTGACTCAGTCAAAATCGACAAACGCTATGAGATGTAAGTCGAAAGAGACTGTAAGAAACGTCGTGAGACGACAAACTCATTGCCCTTGAGTCTGAAGTATATGAAGGCTCTCCAAAGGAGCCATACTATGCGTCGACGACGCACTTTTCGATACGCTTCAGGCAGATATAATTTCGACATCATCTGAGGCAGTTCTGAGGCGGAAATCATGTGACGATTTTCCACTTTTTCTTCTCTTCCAACGTCCGACCAGATACACACAATTAGACCACTTACACGCGTCTTCAGCGCGGCGCGACCTATCTGAATGCAACATTCTTCACCCCTCCTTTCACCTGCTCGCTATGTCAGGACGCAACAGCGCGAATGCAAGAGAGCCAATCTTACGAAGGCAGAACTGGCGGATGCCTTGCTCAACGAATCACCCCGATCGGCCCCGCGGCTATTTTTTGCGGCGAAGGCTTCAAAACCGGGGTGAAAATTAGCTTCAGCAATCGCACCTGCCCTACTCGCCATGCCCAAACGCAACGAATCCCACTCCGACCTCTACAGTCGGCTCTTGTTCTCCAAGAAACTCGGTTACCCGCTCTACAATCCTTGCCTTTCAAGTGACCATTCTCCTGCACGCATAGCCGCTGGAGTGCAAATTGGTGATGTTGGCGTTGTTCGGCGGGACGGCTCTTTTGACCCTATCTTCAATATTCTCGACTCCACCTTAAACCCGACGACATTCCCAGACGATTTCCAACCTCTTGCCAAGCTATCAGCCGCCCAAGCAAACGACATTGCCAAACAAACGGCGTACTACTCCAACAACCATAAAGTTTCTACTTTGGAGGAGCGCAATGCCAGCTTGAGTCTGGAGGCGAATTTAAGTGGTACAGGGTATGATTTTACAGCTCATCTTGATCTATTCTCACCCGTCCAAGCCTTGGGCTCCCTGGTGGTGCCAACGCATCGATTGAATTCACTCGGAACTCCAAACACCAGGCCATCCTGGTTCTTCCTGAGGGTGGCTCCGTATATGAGCATCGGGCTCTGACTGCTTTGGAGCAGCATGCGAGAGCTAACGCGCAAGTTTGGTACTCGTTCGTCCGGGAGACACTAGGACAGAAGATCAACTATGGCGATCTTTACCTCGTCACCCAGGTCCGGAAAGCTACAAGTTGGCGAAGGACTGTGGGCTTCCGTTCAGAAGGCGACAATAAGGTCAAAGTCGGGATAAACGCTGCTGCTATCGGTTCTGCGGCTTTCGGACTGGGACACAAACACAAGATTGGTCAAGTCGTTTCCGAGGGCGAATCCGCAAGCATTTTATCAACAAGGTCATACCCTGTCAAAGGCGCGACGGAAACGTCCGAGACGGTTGACGTTGCTTCCACCTCTTCCAAGTTGGCCCCTCCCGAAAACCAGACGATATTTTTTTCTGGTTTCAAGATTATGGTCCGACCGAATGTACAAGGAGGCCTCGTTGGTACGGCAAAGGACATCTCAGACAACAAATGGACGGATGTAAGGCGTGGCGCCAGCTCATTCTGGAGCTCTGTGATGGAGTTCTTGCTATCTTGCTGGTGTCTTTCTCCATCAGAACATAAATCTAATCGTATGCAAACTGCCGTCTGTGCCTTCCGTCTGCTCACTATCCTTGACTGACGATCAACCAGCGAAACCACCCATCGGACGCCCTCAACAACCACATCTTGGACAAGGTTTGGTAGAGTATGTCTTCTAACACAATTACTGAAATCGTTCCCAGTATCCAGATGCACTAGCCGCCGTTACTCATGACTGTGTCTGGGCTGAAATCCTTCAGGTTTTTTTCTCGAATATTTAGTTAGAGCATATACTCACCTTTTAGCAGAACGGAGAACAAGTTCCGCCGCCGCCGTATAAGCAACTCGTTGAACGAGTACTGCAGAAGTTCAAGATCGATTCCGAAAATGGTATGTATGCCTGTTTGGTCTTGCAAATCATGTCTTAGATGTTCCTCTAGGCATGTTCTTTACTCGACCAGAAGATGGAAGAAGTTTAGATGCACTTGTTCAAGATCAGGCCCATGCACGACAAGAGACGGAGTCGTTCCTCTCGTCTCTCGAAGAAGCGAAAACCACCCGATCTGTCCGCACAGTCAGTTTCAGCCAGAGTGTACTGTTAGAGCGAGACCGTCGGTCTATTGGCAATATCCCTCACACGCCTCTCGAATCACCCGACGACGAAAAGGATATACGGGACGTCACCAATACTTCGGAAGACAAACAGCCAATGCCAGGAACCTACGTTGAACCTGACGCAGGCCCACCCGTCCCTCTTAAATCCAGTTCTATCGATAAGCGCCGACCGTCACTCTCAACCGTTGCCCCTCGCTCCTCGTCTTTCAGCGAACGCAGTCATCGGCGTGCATCTCGTTCACCGACTTCGTTAACCCCTCCGCCATTAACCATTCCGTCTGTTACAGAAGAATCAAACGAAGCCAATCCGAGCTACTTCCCAGCAGCCATGGCGGATTCTCCGGTCGATGACCAAGCAACACCTGAAGCTGAGCCGGATGGCGCTAATCTGGCGGGGCCTGCCAGTGAAGCAGCTACAACCCATCAACCAGAAGCTACAACTCATCAACCAGAAGCTTCACAGGCGAGGAAAGATAGCAAAGGCCACGAAAACTCCTGGGATAGGTTGTGGAAAGGCCGTCGTTTCTCGAGTCTGTATTCAAAGTAGTGGATGCTTTAATTTTGTATTTCTGTGGCATGTAGTTGCTCAACTTTATCGTGGGTGCATGTTGAATGTTTTGCCTGACAATGTCGCAAATTGCCTACTTATCGCTGAATGATGGCCTGATTTGTACTTTTCACACGGAGTTTACGACCAAGTTTACGACTGCCCAACTGCCCAGAAACGGACTGAGAGTCGGCTGCGAGACAAACCGCGACCATGTCAATGCTTCATCGAACCAATTCTTACCCGGGCCACCGCAGTTTCTTGCTGAAGAGGACGGAATGCCACTCCCGACGCCCATGGCCTTCATTTCATTAGATTTCATTTCACGTCTCGTCCAATCATAACACTGGACGGAGCGCCTTTTCCGTGTGCAGTGCTACAGAAGACAGATAGAATGATCGTGGTACACACAGTGTAAAGTGGTCGCTAAGTGAGACTTTTGCTTTTTCTTATATGATTCACCTATCTTATTGGCTGAAGGTAGCCCAACGAACTCATACCAGAGGCACACAAACTTCCCTGCTCGAATTTGGACTGTTCGACCAGGATGGACGGATGGACGGCAACTTGAACGAAGCGCGCTATTGGTATTAGCGCACATACCACGCCGATGCGGCGAGGGTCTAACGCGACAAGCATATAAGCTTTTCATTGTGTACATGGGCCATACCTGCTACTACATCCTCCTCATCTCCCGCGATGCGTCATTCAAACTCGGAATCCTACAATCGCCTGCTTTTCCCCAAACGGCACGGATACGCTCTCTATAACCCTCGCCCCACGTCTGCCCGCAAGGGAGTTGGGGTTGAAATTGGCGATGTTGGTGTTGTCACTAAGGATGGGCAATTCGATCCATACTTCAACGTTTTGGACAACAAACTGAACAAGTCCTTGAATGTCAATATTCCCCCACAGTTTCTAGTAAGCGTTACTTCCCAGGACTGGGCAACGGACGTCAGGGATGTGAGAGACTTCTTCCCGCCGAAAACCACGCTGTATTCGCTGGAAGAGCGCGCTAACAACGTGGGCGCGGGGCTAAGGTCAGAAAACTCGCGGTACGTTTTATGTTCGATGGACACATCATCCACTTCATTCATCTGTGGCAACTCGAATGTTAGGCTAGGAATCCCAGCTAACATCGGCGCTGATGTCCACAACAAGAGTCACACCAACTACAAAGCCATCTTGGAGCTTCCCAATGGCGGTTCATCGTACGACTATCGTGCCCTCGGAAAACTTGAAAAGCACGCAATGGAAAACGCTCAGGACTGGTATTCTTATGTCAGCGACAAGCTTGGACGCAGTATTGCATACGGAGACCTCTACCTCGTCACTGGGGTTCAGAAAGCAGCATCGTGGCGAAGGACATTTGGTCGACATTCAGAAACAGCCAGTGGTGTTCGTGCAAATGCGGAAATCTTGACTGGGGCTCTTGGAATTGGTGGCGAACAGCAGCGCAAAACCGAGGAAAATGACAGCGTAAATTATTATCCTCACAGCGGCGAGCCTGTAGACGTGCCTAAGGAGGACCAGACTGTGTTTTTCTCAGGCTTCAAGATTATGGTCCGGATCAACCTACAGGGGAGAGTCGTCGGTCGACTGCGAAAGATAGATGACGATTACAAAGCTGTTCTCCCAAGAGCGACATCGTGCTGGAGCCCGTTCGTGTCGTGCTGGAGCTCGCTCGCGCGCTTCTTCCAATGGTGTCTGTGTTGCGGAAAGCGGTCAAAGGAAGTGGCTGTCGCCGCGCCTGTTGACTCCGAGCAACCACCAGTCATACATCCCATTCTCAGCAAAACGCCAAATGAAGATCATATATCGAATGCATTCAATGCCTACATCTTAAAAACGGTGATTAAGGCTCCCATGTTCTAAGCAACCGACTGACTGAACAATTAGAATGAAAATGCCAATGTGGCCATGATTCATGATGCCCTTTGGCCCGAACTGCTTGAGGTCATCTCGTGTCTTCTGCTGTTTTGGTCCAAATATTCACAACTCAGACAGGACGGGGAAGAGATGTCTGATGAGGTGCTCTTTGAGCGCGCGGTGGAGAAGTTCAAGGTTGGTGATCAGCGCGATGGTACGAATGCTTGTCTATCTGAGCCGATCCAATTTAAAATGGAGTTTTACTAGGAAGGTTCTCCGTTCGGCTCAAGGATGGTCCGAGTCTGGAACAACTGGTTGAGCAACAGATTAGTGCAGAGGGCGAAATTCCGGGTCAAACGCCGCAAAAGCCGAATGTCGCTGCTACTATTGAGAATGATGATAGTCCCGAAGCCAAAGTGGGGGACCCACACTCACCCACTCCTCCCAACGAGGATAGCAATGACGATCCGGCTTCTTTGGTTTCTCCACCATCAAGTCACGATGCCTCTCCACCCAACGAAGGATCCCCCACGTCAGTTAGCAGTCCGGTATCAGACGGACAGGATGGTTTTGATGCCAGCGAGAAGCTACCAGTTCCATATACTGGTGGACCCGAAAATTCTCTGCTGCCTCCATTCGACGTGGCGTCACAAACCAATATCTCTGCCGAGGCCACGATAGTCGCCCCGACAGGCCCAGCCGAGTCCCCATCTCCCGAGAATCCTTGGGACCACTTCGTTCACAACCATCATAATCGCCAGACGAGTATGGATGACGCGCCCTTGAACGCGCCACGGAAACCTGATGATGAGATCATGAGGTCTAATGATTATACTACTTAGTAGATGAGATTACATTTGGCTAGAAGAGGAGTACTTGGCGGGAAACTCGTTTACAATTGACTCATACTGTGTTTCTATGGTATTAATAAGTATGTATCTCGTGGCTAGTATCTCAGACTCGCTGTGAATTTTAGGATTTCCCTGCGCATTAAAAAATTAGGCGGGATCAACCTGTTATATGTATATTTATTTCCTGCTTCACGTGACAAGTGACAAATGGTTTTTTTTCTTCTTTCCACCACATCGATGGTTGACGGCCTCCCCATCCCTTCATTAATCTGGGTGAGTCCTCGCTTACCCTCCTCCCCCCTCCTTTCCATGATGATATTGCTATGGTCCGTGTTTCCAAGAGGCGACTAGACACCGCTGCTTCAGTATGCCGACAACCATTTTTACCTAGCTCTCTGACCTCTTTTTCCCAATCCTTGGCGATGATACTGACTACCTCTCAGGTCTTGTCTCAGACTATTGTCTGCCTTCGATGGTCTTCACTTGTAGCATTTCGTTGTGTTTTCCGTAGCTCATAATGCACCCATTTCTCTAACCTTAAACATGTCTGTCTGCATGCCTTTCCACCACTATCCGGGGCTGCTAGAGATTGGGAGACGGAATTAACAATGGATGACCACGGTAAGAGTGCTTGTCGATGTGTTTTTCTGTTCTCAAAATTGTTGTAGGCTGTCGGTTCGCTGGGGATACCTGTACTGCCAATGCCCACCTTTCATGAAGTCTTCCTTGTTCCGTCATGGCCAGTCAAAGCGGTTTAGCCGTCGTCATCTGGCACCCACTCCCTTAGTCTTTGTATTTCTTTGTCCCGATCCGTCATATAAGCATGGATTTTGTGACCAGACGGTCTCGCTCCATTCATCCACGGGCCACCATGTCTTCTCTCCCCACCAATCTCCCCTCCAACGTCCTGGTCAGCATTTATGCTGAAATGGCACCAATGTATCAAGACAGCTTCTCTCGATGGCGCCCACGCTACCCTGCAGATGCTCTGGGAGTGCTCTTCCATGACCATCTTTTGACTGTGGCGGCAGTATGCCACTCCTGGAGAGTCGCTGCACTGAATACGCCACAGTTATGGACCACCATTGAGCTGGACTTGAAACTTGGTGGAATCATCACACAAACAAACCGTTGGTATCGAGACCTGATTAGCATATCTCTTCCAACCGTGCTTAGGCACTCGGCCAACCTTCCGTTGACGCTTCACCTGCGTATCGACTATCCCGCGGTTACAGATGCCATCCTCCAACACTTACTGTCGACTGTTTGGCGGTGGAAAGCTGCCAACATACGACTATCTGCTGAAGCGAAGCAAACAGCGTGGTTGGGGGCACTGTCCGGGAAACTTGGGTCACTCGAGTTGCTGCGGATTAACGTCGGCGAGCCACTAGTACTTGGTATGCTCCCTCGTCTAAAGACCATGTACTCGAGTCTTCCGCTACCAGATCTCAAGTCGACTTCGTTCAAGACACTCTATATTAATGCCGATGGTCCTCCTTCGTTTGTTGCTCATCGGCTTCGTAGCCTCAGCACATACAAACACACACTTCATCTCGCTGTCGATATGCTACCGGCGGACCCATTCTATAAGTTGTGCTTCCCCACCACCACCTGCTTTCTCACAGCTCTCCACCTTACTTTCTGGGATCGAACAGTGTCGCTGCATTATGCAGAGAATATGCTCAACACTGTGCTTCCCCAGCTTTACCTCCCGTCTCTGCAGCAGCTTTCGTTGATGTATCATGGTCGACACCACCCAGTAATTGCAACAAGTGCGTTCGTCGGGTTCATTGACCATTCTGAGATACGAGTGACTCTGCGCCTGCTCGTCCTCTTCAACATTGCCATAGGAAATACCCCAATATTGGAGGGGACTATAGCGTGGCTCGAAGCCCTTCCGGCACTGGTCAAATTATCGCTCAGCGACATTTCAATTCGGTCGCCAAAACGCGGACTGGCCCATCCAGAGGGATTCGTTATCGACAAAACCCTGTTTTTCCTTTTGTCTCTACGGCGGCGTTCTACTGCATACGGCCAAGTCCCTCTCTTCCTACCACGGCTCCAGCACTTGACGCTCAACAGCTACCTTGCGGGAATATCGGGAGACGATCTCCGTGCCTTTGTGAATGCGCGGCGTGGTAGGGCGACCCGCCCAGTGGCGTTCGAGCTGCAACTCAACAAGTTTCATGGTGCGGAAATCGAGCCGTCCTTCAAAGCTGCCGTAGTGGACATCCGAAATGACCTGCGACTCAGGGAGGGCTTTAATCTGAAGATGTTCACATTATGGAGGGAGAGGGATTGGGAGCAAACGCACAGCCAGTGGGCGGAGTTTTGGAGGGTCAGATAAATCATTAGCAGTTTGAGGACTCAGGACATCTGTCTTTCATTCTAATCTAATAGCGACGACCAGAACTAGAACTCGAACTTCTCTCCGATAATTTCTTCTGTTGCTGCCCACAAAGTCGCTGTAATGGCCTGCAGTTCACATTCAGCTTCCTATTCACTTATCTGGTATAAAGAATAAAGAAGACGAACCGGGTCAGTGCTATGAGGCGCAGCCATCTCATTGGAAACCGTTGCGTCGGAGAGGTATGCTCCGGGATTTTCGACAAGGCGAGGGTCAAAGGCAGCAGCCACGGTCCTGGAGAGAACTTTAGAGAGACATGATTCATCAATCGAAGCTTACGTTGCTGCACCCTGGGGAATCGTTTTCCATTGAAAGTCCTTCGTATTTGGCTCGCCATTTGCGTCAAGAATCCCCACCCGCCGGAGGACTGGAAGCACGTCCTCATTGCCGCGGTTGATATTGGTATAAATGACTTGCAGGCGAAGATGAGGGTGATTTAAGGAGGAACGCAGGGCAACATACTTCCAGGATGCAGACTGTAGCCAAGGATGGCGCCTTTTGAACGCCGCGAAAGTTCGAGTGCTGTCGAGACGTTGGCTGACTTGGCTTGGAAGTAAACCATTTCGGGAGGGTATTTGTTCTCTGTGGGGGACTTGAGGAAGTCGAGATCAACGCCGGTCCCGACGGCGTGGGCAATACTCGAGACGAAAACAACGCGTGGCGTGTATGTAGCTGATGCGGCGGCTAACAGCTTCCCCTTGAGCAGGTTGGTGAAGAGAAACGGTCCGACATAATCCGTCGCCAGCTGTACTTCGAGGTTGTCGACGCTGAGTTTGAACTCGCGAAGGCCGGCGGCAGCATTGTTGATGAGGACGTGTATTGGTTCTGCGTATGCATTAACCTCAGCAGCAGCCTTGCGCACCGCTTCCAACGAGGAGAGATCGAGAATGAGACGTCTGACGTTGGCCGTTGGGGTCTCCTTCTTGATTGCTTCCTCCGAAAGTGCCAATCTAGGAGACCCTTGGAACGAGAGCAGACAGACAAGAACCTCAATCGCACCTTTCCTCGTTGTACCCTGTGATGACAACTAGGTTCGCATACTTTGCGATGACTCTTGCTGTTTCAAAGCCAATTCCGTTCAAAGAGGTTCCAGTAATAAGAACTGCAACGTTTTATAGGATACAGGACCAGAACAGCCACGAAACGCACCATTCTTGCCCTTGATTTCCTCGCTGAACGTCGCGGAGACCTCTTGAGCGGTGGTTTCGAAGCCGAACGCAGGGTATGAAGGCATAGCTGAAGGGGAAAATCGATTATAGGCGTTGGGATTTTCAGGGCTTAAATAGACATTCTCCTTAGTGCCAAGAACATCGAGCCGAGTCGTTCGTTGTCTGTCAACTTGCCATATCATCGGAAGCCTCGGTCGATCTACAAGGAAAACCGGGCAACTCGGATTGATAGGTGTAAGAATCTACTTGCAGCTAGTTGCCGGTCTGTCAAGAGACACGACCTCCTCGTAGTGCCTCGCATAGCTGGAGGATGCATCTGTGGCAAGTATCGAAAGAATCACAATTTTTACCCGCCACAAGTTGTACTGCGAATGGAAACTTCGGTGTCGGCTGCTCTGGGGAGGAATAGGGGTATATTAGGGCCTGATTGGACCTTGGTTGCGAACCCCAAGCGCGTTGCAGTGGTTGAAATGCAAGATCAACGGGCTTACCTAATCATATCCCTTCAAGATTTTTCTTCCGTGCCGAAGACTGTTCAAATCCGATTGTGTGCAAAAAAAAAAAAAAATCGATGGATTAATACATATTGTACACAAATGATCCTAAGGTAATTTTTTCTTCTTAATCTCAATATTGAACCAAAGTGTAACAAGCTGTGGACCCTAATTGGATGCCAGTTTATGTCATTTAGCATGCCTGTTTTGAAGCCAAAACAGTAACAAAACAGGGCCCTGATTTGCTTGCTATCAAGCCTGAAATCTAGGCTAAGAAAGGTTACATTTCTGTATGGAGAAAACCAATTGCTCATTTTATACACACTAATTGTGCAATGTGCATATAATTTACAAGCTGTGATTGACAAATGTGCACAACTACAGGTGATAATGGATGTCAGGGGAACCTCCCTTTCGGCCCTCGGAGATGACCCCGATTCCGGTCCGATTCCGGTTCCGACTCTGGTCCGGCCCTCCATCTTGCGTGCGCAATTACCCATCCGTCAACACCCTCTCAACAGTCGTCCTGGGACCTGGCCTGCTGTCATGGATAAGACCCGGCCCGTCTGCTCCGGCGCTGGTGTCGGGCCGTAGCACGCAGCACGTGATGACGGGGAACATGCGCCCCAGTAGGAGGAACGCACACGTGGGAAGCACATGACTGAGAACAATGCGTCAAAAACAACAAACAACAAACGGAAAGGCGACACCCGACGGCTACGCGCGACCCTTCCCCTTCTGACCCGCCGAAGGACCCGATGGAGGAGAATGCTGTGGCCCCGTGTCAGACTGTGGGTCGGGCCGTGCAAGAACCTCTCCTAAAACACGCGCCCCGGAACAGAACAGACGGATAGTTGGGCCCGCAAGTACAGCGAGCGGGGTAGATCGAAACCGAAAGGGCCCGTGAACTCGGTCTCTTGTCGCTGTCGGTGGTCGAAGGTTCGAATCGGGTCGTGTCGGGCCCGATAAGTCGATGGCACCTCCTTGCACGGAGTAAGGTAGTTCTTCAGACGATCTAAGCAATAGTGTCACAAACAACACCAATTCAGAGGATGCCAGTTGGCCAGTGAAGGCAAGTAAGAAGCACCGTGAAAGGATATCGTAAAGATGATGGAATTCGAAGACTGGGGTACAAGATGAAATCTACTCTACTTATATACACTACTACCATGTGTTTACCATGCCTAATACGAGAGGCAATGACATCATACTTTAGCCATGCCTTTACGTGCTGTCTGCCTCATGTCCAACTCCACGCTGTCAATCAACATCAGCATCGACATCTGATGATCCAATCACCATCTTATCGGCTATCTTATCTCCTCCTTGTCTTATCTTATCAACCAGGGCCAGAATAAAAGGTTTAAATGGCGAAGAAAAAGGTTTCTTGAACCCAGGGTTTGACAAATAGAGTACATGGTACACTATCACGCCTTATATACGCGGGCCCACAAAGGGGTGATCGGACACCCTGGCCTCTCCTGCTCCTCCTCGCCCCCGTTCCTGGCCGCAGAGGGGACGATCATACATCCCTTGGGGGCCAGGTGCTACTCCTAACCTCCTAGCACTCCTCCCTAGTCCCCTGGTGTCGAGTTGGGCTCGGTGACACATTGTTCTTGGTCATGTGCTTCCCACGTGTGCATTCCTCCTACTGGGGCACATGTTTCCCGTCGTCACATGCTGCATGCTACGGGCCCGCAATGGCCCGACACCAGCGCCGGAGTGGACGGGCCGGGTCTTATCCGTGACACCCCAACCCGGCCGAGTACTCCCAGGAACGGGGCTCGAGCGACCGGCCTGACGACGTAGTCTCAGTGCACAGCCTCTCACTCCCTCCCAATTTGGGAGCCCTTCTGTGAGAGTCTGGACACAAGTGAGCTCGGCTAAGGGGGGGCCCGACCTATCAATTCATCAGTGAGTTTTCCCACCACCTTTGGCTTTGCTCAAAGGCCTCTGTGTGAGCTGTTGACCATGGACAAGCGTCCCTACGCGGCCCAGTAGGGGGAACACGCGGGCGGATGGGACACAGGAGGAAGAGGCAAGGGGGAAGGCGCATGGGGGGACGGTACTCGGCGGTGCACGGGGGAGGCTGAACGACGCCGAGGGGGCGAACAAGAGTGGCGGCGCACGGGCCTTGTTCAGGGACACTGTGACGCGGCCTGTGGACGCCGCGGAGGCGGCGGGTGACCTGTATACCGATTCCGGACATTCGGGCGCGTATAATGCCCTAGGTCCTCCGAACGATGCCGATTCTGCGCCCGGAGCATATTGGAATGGGGTAGGAAGCAGAAGCAGAAACGGCGGTAGAGGAAATTCTCCGACACCGCCTGTAGGTCTGCAAACCTCGAGTCCATCTCCAACAATGCATACACGTTCTCGTCGTCCGTGCACTCCCAAAATTCGAAACGCCATGAAGACCCGCGCAAATCTCTTGCCTTGTAAGCTGCGGCAAACGGGCCCCATGAATCACAACGACGGTGCGAATGGCTGCACCAATTGCAAGCACGCCGGACGTTGGCTGGGAGCTTAAGGGCAAGGTTGCCGGGTTGACCCCAGACAGTGCAAAGACAGCCTGTCTGTACGCAAAACGAACACCGAGGCATGATGGTCTGGACGACCTCGCCAAGGCGGCGCAACAGCTCGCCAGGGAATCGCTCCGTCACGCCCGTACAGTCAAGTGCGGGGGCCGATGGTACGTAACCATCTGTGTCCTCCATTGTGAGCCACGACACCCGGTTCAACGGGGAAGTGCGGGGGGCGATAGGCCGATTTGGGGTGACGGCGACTAGCGGAACATCGTCATCCGAGATCTTGATCACGGATGCCTCACGGTTCGCAAGAAGGGAGACGGACAACACCTCCAAATCTGGTGATGACACCTGTGAGGGGCCCATCGACACATCATCCGAATCATGGAGCCATAGGTGTTAGATTTCTACAAATGCAACTAGCTGCAGCTAGCATGCCTGGTGTCAAATACACTGAGCAGGGCTTTTGTCACATATGTCACATTCTTTAAAACCTTATTTTATTTGTTTAAGACTATTGTTATAGTAATTGATGATGGGCCTGATGGTATCTATATAATGTCATCCATGTGGAAACATTGTTGATTGCCATCAAAAGTTTGATGATTATAACCTGCTACATCATTTCTGTCTAAATTGGGATTATTCGTTATTTTCTATATATATATAATCTTCCAAATTATATAACAGGTCTTTGGCCTGAAGAAAAGGAACTTAACATTCATTTATTAAGTATACTAATAATGAATTCTGATGTTATATCAAAGTTTTATCAGTCTTATGGGGGAACAGAAGACAAACACACGGTAAATTCAAATCTTTCTTTTCAGGTAGGGTTACCTTGGATGATATTGTGACAGAATGCTTATGTGATTGCCTACAATGCCCACCAATCATGTCATCATGAGAGCTCCGCTTTGAAACAAAATCCTTGAAGCCACGCTGCGTCCAAAAATTCAAGGATACACTGTTCATGTATATATTGTTTGTAATAAGCAATCACTTTGACTTTTTGACTTGAATTTTGGACGCAGCTTCAAGGATTTTGTTTCAAAGCGGAGCTGGGCATGTGCCTCATGATGATGTGATTGGTGGGCATTGTAGGCAATCACATAAGCATTCTGTCACAATATCATCCAAGGTACCCCTACCTGAGCTGCAAGGTGTACCCTAGGGTATACCCCAAGGTATACCCTAGGGTAGCACAGAAATATCATATTTCTTCACGCCTATTAGTCCTGACAAAAAGCTAATCTTTTAGTCACACTGAAAGGTGTACAGAAAGATGCCCTTTCCTTTCCCCTTTTGGGCAATCACAAAGATGTTCTTTGTGATAGTCCAAAAGAGGCACAGAAAGACGATTTTTCTGAATGTCTTTGTGTGTCATTGAAAGTTGTTCTTTGTGCAACACAAAAGGCACATCAAAAGCCCTGATTTTCAATTGGCCTTTTTGCAAAAACACAAAGATCACAATTTGTTGTAGACAGAAAGTTGGACAAAATGGCAGTCTTTTAATTGCTCTTTCATTGTGATGAAAAGAGAGTCTTTCTATGGTACTTAAAGATGGATAAAAAGAAATCATTTTGGTGTCTATTTTTATTCAGATAAAATATCTTATTTCTTTCCAAAGGAAATATATATTAAAAGGTGATATTTGTGTTCATGTTTCTGAGGGAAAAGAAAGATTTGCATTTACCGTGTGAAATGCACCAGCTGCACTCAGGTCTCATTGGAGCTAGTGGATTTGACACCAGGTTGACTCAGTGCACTCAGTGCAGTTGTCAAATGTGCACAACTACAGATGCAATGGGAGGTGGTGGAGGGAGTTCACTCCAGGGGAGGCAGCGACAGTGTACTGCTTGGTATTTTCCTTTCCCAGGCAGTGAGGTGGCGAAGGACGATGGCCAGAGTCGCGGGCAGAGCCAGAGACAGAGTCGAAGCAGGGGCAGGGGAGGGTATGTAGGGCAAAGGAATTGATTCGTCATACAAGATCAACTCCGCTAACATCTCGTCACCGAGTTGTTGGATCACCTGTCGAGGATATCCATCAAGCGGACATCCGCGGGGAGGGGGCAATCCTGGGCAAGATGGTTTGGGTTGCCGCACCTGAAGCAGGCGCGACAAGGAGCACCCCGAGCCCTAGTGTGATCCAACTCCATA